GAGGGCATAGCTGTGACTTGAAGCAGTATGTGTCAGGCATTGGGTTGAGGGACGTGCCCATGGCTGTGGTACTAACAAGTGCCTTTCCCAAAGACAAGTGCTATCAGGGCTCTCAGGAGGCCAGACCCATAGCAATGTTGAGGTTATCTGGTGTAATGTGACAGATTGCTGGTTTGGGGGTGTTTTGGGGACCTCTACTGTAGGGATCCTAAGATCTGAAGGATGTTTGTGGCTGTGTCTGGCAGTGAAGAACCAAGCACGCTGGGTCCAGCAGTTCATCTCAGACATGGTCAGCCTATATGACATCACGAAGGATGCCAACTTCAATGTCATCCTGGTGGACTTTGACAGCGATGACATGGACGTCGAGAAAGCCCTGCAGGATGCCCGCCTGCCTCGGTAACTCTCCCAAGGATCCCTGCATCCTCTCCACATCCCACTGTAGTCCTGTGCTGGTGGTCTCATAGATGGGCAGGCCATTCTGGTCGTCCTGTCACAGCCATTGGCTTGAAGTGGTCCCTTTCTTCATTGAGTCATAGGATGATTTGGGTTGGGTGGGACCTTACAGCCCATCTAGTTCTAACCCCCTGCTGTGGGCTGGGATATCTTTAACTACACCAGGTTGTCCAAAGTCCCATCCAACCTGGCCTTGAACACCTTTGGGAATGGGGCATCCACAGCTTCTCTGGGCAGTCTGTGCCAGTCCCTCACTGCTTTCTGAATAAAGTATTTCTTCCTAGTGTCTAACCTAAATCTCCTCTCTTTCAGTTTAAAACTTTTTTCCTATTACCTCGCTCCCTGATAGAGACCACACCAGCTTTTCTGTACACCCCTTTAGCTACTGGAAGGCTGATATTTGCTCTCCTCAGAGCCTTCTGTTCTCCCAGTTTCCTGACTTTCTCTTTGGGTTTTCTCTGATCCAGGTGCGTTACCTTGCACTTGGTCATGTTGGAACTTCATGAGATTCACACAGGCCCATCTCTCCAGGCCTGCTGAGGTCCCTCTCCCCCCTCTCCCCCCTCGGTTTGGTGTCATCCACAGACTTGCAGAGAGTGCCCTCAATCTTGCTGTCCATGCCACCAACAAAAGGTGTTAAATAGTGTTTGTTCCCTTGAGAAGGTTCCTTCTCATCACCAAAGCTAACTGCCCTGCTCTCTCCCCTCAGCTACCAGTACCTACGGCGCACAGGGAACTTTGAACGCTCAGCAGGGCTGCAGGCTGGTGTGGATATGATTGAGGTAAGGACACTGCTCCACTTGGGGCTTCTGGAGCTCCTGCTGTGGCTTGGCTGCAAGCCTCCCGCTTGTGTCTGTCCCCATCCTCAGGATGGGCACAGCATCGTGTTCCTGTGTGACCTGCACATCCACTTTCCCCCCAACATCCTGGACAGCATCCGGAAGCACTGCGTGGAAGGGAAGCTGGCCTACGCGCCCATCGTCATGAGGCTGAGCTGTGGCAGCTCCCCACGGGAGCCCAATGGTGAGCGGTCCCCTTCCTTGTCCACCTTGCAGATGGGAGATATCACCTGTGTACCTGAGTGTTGCTGTGATGCTGGGTTTGGGTTACAGCCAGGATCGGGTGGATTTGTTCTGCTTTGAGGTGAGATTAGACTCCAAGGGTTCTCCAGAACTTGAAGTGTTACTCTGTGGACCCCAGTGGGAGGTGGCAATGATGGGGACAGAGCTGTGGTAGGAAGGGAGCACTGGGGGAGAGATTGGAATGAGGAGTGAGCATGGATGTGGCTTCCTGGGAGCACCAAGGGTGATGGTATGATGAGATGGGGATCTCACCGCTCCTCCCTCCAGGTTACTGGGAAGTGAATGGCTTTGGTCTCTTTGGCATCTACAAGTCGGACTTTGACCGCGTCGGAGGGATGAACACGGAGGAGTTCAGGGACCGCTGGGGCGGGGAGGACTGGGAGCTCCTGGACAGGTGAGGCTGGAGGCACCAGGGCCCCTGTACCAGGACCTGTGTGATGGGAACCTCCATACCCCCACCCACAGGCAGGGATTTGGCTGTGTCCATCCCCTCATTTCCCTGAGCAGCTGTCCATCTGTCTGACTTGCAGGGTCCTTCAGAGCGGGCTGGAGGTAGAGCGCTTGCGTCTCAGGAACTTTTACCACTATTACCACTCCAAGCGCGGCATGTGGAATGCTCACAGCAAGAAGTCACCCAAGGACTAACACCCTGAGCCCAGCCCACAGCCAACAGACCACAGCCAGAGGTTGGCTACCGCTGGTGCCCACGTGTCCCCAGCCCTCTGGTGCCAGCACGGAGGGCACTATTGCCACTGGGATCTCCAAATGAACCATGGTTACTTTGGGGTGGATATGGGGAGGGAGGGTGGGTGAAAGTGGGAAGGTGGATTTTTTCTTAAGGGTCTAATTTCTTAGTCAGAAATGAATTTATTAACTCATTAGCACCAGGCAGTGGGCGTCCTGCTGTTGAGAGAGCAAAGCCTCAAGGCTTGCTGGTGATGCTGAAGGGATTAAAGTGGTGCCTGAGCTCACTAGCTCTGCATCCCCTGCACAGTGCCCAGTGCCAGGCTGGAGGGCAGAGCTCTTGTTGGGGGGCTGCTGGAGCAGATACCCTTGGGGTGGTTGAGGGTATCTGCTCAGGGCTGCCTATCTTCTCTGTGGCACCCCCAGAGCCAGGTGGTCACCTTGGATGGGAGAAAGTTCTGCCCTGGTTGCTTTAGCTGAAGTGGACAAGGGGCAGAGCCCCTTCCTGGCCCCCATCAGCAGTGTGGGCTGGTGGGAGGTGGGAGGAAAGGGCAGAGCCCAAAGTAGGTACAGGACTGGGGAGAGCAAATGATGTTTCCAAGCTAATTTCTGTGAAATTATGAGGTAGGAAGCTGTTTTCAGGAAGTTCTGTCTGTTTTCTTTCTTTGTTGTTGTTGTTGTTGTTCTGTTTTGTTTTGTTTTAGTTTTTTAATTCTTAAAAATTAAAATCGATGTCTTGACTGGGATTTCCTTCTCGCAGTGTCACCCTCTGCCTTGTGGTTGCAGTCCCAGGAGGGCTGGCAGCATGCAGGGAAGGGGAGGAGGATGCAGCCATGTACCTTTGATGCCCTGATGCACGCTCGGGCTTGCAGGGAGCTTGGGGAGCCTCCGCCCCACAATTGGGTCTCGCCCCATTGCAGGAGCATGGGCTAAAACCACCCTGTGGTCTGGCAATGCTGGGCACTACCAGCCCTGAGAGTATCCCAGGAAGTGTCCCCAAGCCCCCCTCTGAGTTTGCCCAGTCTCTGCAATGGGATTTTCTCCCCCACAGTGCCACTCATCTACTCCCCTCCTTGCCCAGCTCCCTGTATTTTTGAGCTTTTTTTAAGCACTTTGTTGTGGGCGAGGGCTTTGCCTGCTGCCAAGGAGGTGGCCTGGGGGTGGAAAAGACTTGGGCAGGGTGGATGGCTCGATCCCCAAAGCCATTTGTCCTTAGGTACAACTTTTCAAGCCATTGGAGGTTGCTGAGCTGCCTTTGAAGCCATCAGCACCAAGGGACACTTAGCATTGAGCTGGCATGGTGGTGATGGGTTTATGGTTGGACTTGATCTTTAGAGGTCTTTTCCAGCCTTAATGCTTTTCTAATTTTCTATGATATAGAGCCTCTCCCAGTGTTGGAAATCTCCACTTTTTCAAGGAGAAATAGAGAGAAGCATTTGCCAAGCAGCTCTCCCTGCCTGGAGGGAACGTCACGTTGGGGCTTGTTGGGTCTCATGGGGGGCAGGGAAGGTGGAGGGGGGAGGAGGGAGGGGGTAGAGTTGAACCCCAGCCCCAAGCGGGTGGCTCAGCCTGTCCCTATAGGGCTGAGCAAAGAAATGGTGGTGGGCAAAGGGATTGGCCAGTGCTGGCTGTGGTGCTGTTGGGAGCGATGGCCCTGGAACTTGTTTAACTTGTTTGGAATGCTCCCTCTCAGCTTATCTGGTCTTCAAAGGGATCCTGTTCAATCCCACACATGCAGACATGCTCCCTTGGAGCCTCCAGGGCGTGGGGAACCTCCTGCCCCAGCGGCTGTACCCCCCACTTCTGCCTCCACTCCCTCTTTTCCTTTTGGATCCCTTCTTGTTGGGTTCCCCATGCCTGAACAGAACAGGGGATTCAATGGAATGTGTTGGAATGGACACTTTGGCCAAAGGCCATGGAGTAGGGACCTAAGGTGCTTTCCAGAGCATCATGAAGGTGGGATCTCCATTGGCAGCAGACCCAGGAGGTGGATCAGTATGGCATCATGCAGAGCCACCAAGAGCCAAAACCCTGCCGCAAGCCCCAAAAGCACAAACTTGAGTGAGAGGCAAGTGGGTTTGGAGTGCACATGCAAAACAACGGTGAAGGGACTGGTTGGGTAAGCTCCCGGGGCGGGCCCTGCTGCAGCCCCACGCCCACCACCGCACAGACGGCATCACTGACCCCACGCTGGGGCTCCCCGACAGCATCCAGGGGTGCACCCGGCTGGAGGATGCTGCAGGGCACCAGCCCTGTGGGGCCACCCAACAAGGTAAGTGTTTTGCGAGCATGGCTGTCCCCATTGTGGGTTGACATCATGCCAGGGGACGCGGATGACATTGGGAAACTGATGGAGTCATCCATCAGCTGCACGCTCCTGGCCAGCTCTGGTCAAACAGTGATTTTGACCCCTCCCCAGTGTCCTTGTGTCTCACTTTCCCTGTTGTGAAAGGGACAGTCTGGGCACATGTGCTGCTGTGCTGTTGGCCACTCCCTGTTGCTGGTGGCATCGGTGGCCACAGGACCTGCTGTTTGGGACCGGCACTCAGTGTGGCTTTGGGGACAGTAGGCATTGTTGTATTGTGGGGGCCATGGTGCGTGGTCACCCTGCAGAGGGAAGTGCCTTTGGGGTGCAATTCCTGGTGTGACCACACTCGGAGATGCAGAGATGAATAAACTCAGTGTGGACACATCTCCTCAGTTTTGCTCCAAATAGGGTTTTCGTAGCAAATTACTGTATTTATTTATTTATTTATTTATTTTAAGCATTCAGTCTAAAGCCTTTTGCAGAGCTGCAGAGCCCCAGCTCCCTGCTTTGGGGATGTACGGAGGTACCTGGAGGTATCCCCCCACCCCTTAAAGCCTGGTTCACAGCCACGATCAAGCAGCAACATGCATGGGGAGTGAACCTCCCGCTTCAGGGGGGACTATGATTCATGTGGGCTGGGAGTGCCCTGCTGAGCACTGCCAAGTGCGGTGCGCCCGTGTGGGTGGCACAGAGCTGTGAATGGTCCCCTTAGGGCTGTAGACCCCCCAAAAAAGACTGGCTGTAACCCCTACTCCAAGCCCTATTCATAGGACTCCCAAAGATAGGGAGGGTCTGCGGAGTCATGGGTCCTCAGGCACAAAGGAGTTAGCCACTAAGATCAGGGGCCTTACCCATGCAGGGAACACTGTCCTGCTCCGCACCAAGCTGCTCCTGCTGACAGCAGCACATTCCTCACCACTTCCCCCCCCTCCCCTCCTACCAAGGGACGAAAGTCATCCTGAGCTGTCAGCACCGGTGTTGCAAGCCCGAGCCAGCTCACTGGCTGCCAAACCCTTTCTGCCAGGTGGGGCCAAAGCGGTGACACCGAGTGCTGAAGCCACCAGGGGCACTGATGTTCCCATTCACTCCTGCCCCAAGACTGAGAATGTGCACAACTTGTGTCAGGAGTGCGTGGCTCCCTCCAAGAATTTGGGCAGGGGGAAAGCAGCGGAACAAAGCCACTGGGGATTTTGGGAGCAGGCATGTCCCATAAGCTGGGGTTGGTTGGGGTGGCTGGGCGGGTGGGGTGAGCCTAATTAATACCTGTGCACAGCAGCAGCTGAGTCACCCTGCATTCATTGCCTCTGTGCTCAGAGCCACCAGCCCAGCGCCACTCAGCTGCCTCATGGTTGTGGTTTTTTTTTGGTTTTTTTTGGTTTTTTTTTTTAGTTGTTTTTTGGTAATTCCCAACTGATTTGGAAAGCAAAGCAGGGGGGGATTGGCCACCATGCCCTAACAGTGGTGATGGGCTCTTGTAGGGGCTTTATCAGGGAGACTGACAGGTGTTGGCTGGAGGTCGAGGGCTTGCCATGGGGCTGCCCAGGGCTCTAGGGGTCAATGGGCAGCATGCCTGAGACTCCAGAGCTCTCCTGGGTGGGCGCATGGGGGTGTCTGGGGCTTTCCAAGGAGGGCTGGGGCCTAGAGGTGGCTGGTGAGGCCATGTGGGGGTTTGGGGGAGAATGTTGGTTCCTGTGGCTTGCTGGGGTCAATGTGGAGGCTGTGTGGGGCTCTGGGACTCTCTGAGGAGGCTGCCTGGGATCTAAGGCTGGCTGGTGGAGGGCTGGGGGTTGACATGGAAGCTGCACAGGGGTCTGGGTGTCGATGTGTAGGCTGAGCTCGGAGCAGGCTGGTGGGAGAGGCCACGTGGTGGTCCAGAGTTCAACTTGGAGGCCACATGGAGGCTTGGGGCTTTTGGGGTCCATAGGGGAGCCTGCCCAGGCAGCCTGTCCAGCTCTCATCACTGTGGCTGTGGGCATGTCCCCCTCCTCTGCTTGTGGGCACCCTGGGGGGGCTCCTTTGGCCTCGGGGCTCACATTGCCCCCGTCTATGCTCAGGTGGCCGCAGCACCGAGGCGTGGCGGCAGCGGGGCGGGCCGGGTGCCTCCTACAGCTCAGGGAAGGCCCAGCTGCCGTCACAGCCGCACACACCTGCACAGGGCGGCTGCGCTTGCCTCGGCCCTACTCGCTGCCGCCATGCAGGAGACTAACGCCTTCTTGCTGTCGGCCCTGCAGCCTGAGGCTGGCGTCTGCTCGCTGGCTCTGCCTTCGGACCGCCAGCTGGATGGTCGTGGCCGAGAGGCAGCCGAGGCCCAGCGACTGCGCAGCGCTCGCGTCCAGGAGCAGGTCCGCATCCGCATGATGCTGCGGGGGCAGGCGGCCGCCCCACGGCCCGAGACCACCATGCTTGACCCGGTGGATGGCAGAGGTGGGAGACCTCGGGATGGCTTTCTGTGGGTGGGGGGTTCCCCTTTTCCTTTGACCCAAACGGGGGCTTCGCATCTTGGAGCAGCGTGGCTCCAGCCTGGGTTGGTTGTCCCCAAGCCTCAGTTTGCCCTGTGAGGGTACGGGACCCCATGCCCCACTCTGGGCTGTTCTCGGCAGCTCCTTCCACGGGCTCTCAGTGCTGTCTCGTCTTGCTGGCTGGGCTCCAAGTGCCTCCATTTAATGTCTGAGCTCACGGCCTCCGCCCTGCTGCTTCACCCCATTGCGCCTCAGGCTGCGCCCCAGTGACAGGAGAGCCCCCCTGGCACCCTGTGCCTTGTTTTCCCCAAACTGGATGTCCCTATCCTTGCTCTGGTGGCACCCAGGTGATAGCCAGCCAGTGGGAACAGACCAAAACTAAGCCTTGCAGCAGAGCATGGCCAGCCCCCTGAGCTCCCATCCCAGCCGAATAAGGCCAAGGGGAGCTGTGCTGAGCTGCCGTGTCCCCACCAAGGTAGCAATCGCTGCTCTCACCATTGGGCATCTTGAAGGGCGGAGAGGCCGTGGGAGGTGTGCTACCTCCTCCGTAGCCTCTTCCTGCACCCTATGGCTGGAAGCAGGCACTTCTCCAGCCCTCTGACTCTCAGCCCCTTAGCAGCCCCCCCAGGGCAGCAGAGTGGGAGGCAGTGTTGGTCCCAGCTTGTTCAGACCATTGTGTTATCTCCCATCTCCATCCTGCAGGCGGTCCATATGGCACGACCGTGCGTTCCTCCTTTAGCTCCCGCTCCCAGACCAATGGCTTGGACTCCAAAGGCTTGGTATGTCTGAACCAAGCACACATCTCTGTGCTAGCTGGGGATGGCTTAGACAACTGAGTGTTGATAGACAGCTTAGTGTTGACCTACCTGAGGGTAGGAAGGCCCTAGATGGATCTGGAAAGGCTGGATCAATGGGCTGAGGCCAATGGGATAAAGTTCAGCAAGACCAAGTGCAGGGTCCTGCCCTTCAGTGACAACAACCCCAGGCAGTGCTACAGGCTTGGGGCAGAGTGGAAAACTGTAGGGGAGAAAAGCATCTGGGATTTAGTTGACAGTAGCTGAATATGAGCCAGCAATGTGCCCAGGTGGCCAAGAAGGCCAATGGCATTCTAGTTTGTATCAGCCAGTGGGAGCAGGAGGTGATTCTCCCCTTGTACTCAGTTCTGGTGAGGTCACACCTTGAGTATTGTGTTGGGTGTTGGGCCCCTCACTACAAGAAACAGATAGAGGCCCTCGAGCATGTCAGAGAACGGCAATTAATCTGGTGAGAGGTCTGGAGCACAAGTCTTATGGGGGAGCTGGGATGGTTCTGTCTGGAGAAGAGGATGCCTGAAAGGAAGTTGTGGCGAGGCGGGGATTGGTCTCTTCTCCTGGGTACAGGGATAGGATGAGAGTTGATGAGCTCAAGTTGCACCAGGGGAGGTTCGGGTTAGATATTAGGAAAAATTCCTATAGAGGAGTGGTGAAGCACTGGCACAGGCTGCCCAGGGAGGTGGTGGAGTCACCATCTCTGGAGGTGTTCCAGAACTGTGGACATGTGGCACTGAGGGATATGGTCAGTGGGCACGGTGGGGGTGGGTTGGGGTTGTATGTGGTCTTAGAGGTCTTCTCCAACCTTAAAGATTCTATGACTAGACAGCACCAAGGAGGCTTTTGGCTCTGTCCTTTCCTTTTCCTGTGGTGAGGATGGAGAAATGTCCATGTGGTCACTCTTCCTTAACCCCATGCTTCCCCCCTAGCTGTACCAATCCATGGCCAAAAAAGATTTTGGCACGCTCAAGGGCAGCAGCTGGTCCTCGCGGTCGGCTGTGGACCTCACACCACACAAGCGGATGGCAACTGTCAGCAACGGGGGGATGCCAAAGGGCCGGAGCTACGGTGTGGGTGTGGGCTATGCCATGTCGCAGGCTGCCAGCACCTCTCCACGGCCCAGCTCCTTCCACGAACGCAACTACCGTGCCCAGCAGAGCTTTGACACACTGTCGCTGCACTCCCTGCGGCTGGCTGACGGGCCACCGCCTCCCAGCACTACAGATGATCGCTACAGTATCATCTCGGAGCAGCTGGACCCCATGGGGCACCGGTCCCTCTACAAAAACCAAGGCAATGGTGGCTTCAGCCGCTCATACACCTTCGAGAGGCAGATGAGCACTGGTTCCAACGCAAAGAGCTCTGACTGGTTGGATGGCGGAGAGGTGCCCCAGAGCCGCACCATTCGGGCACCAGCCATGCGCACGCTCCAGCGCTTTCAGAGCAACAACCGCTCACGTCTCAGCACCAGCTCCTTTGGCAGCATCCAGCCATCCTTGCAGGCAGCCGTCGGGAGCTCCTACATGGGCATGGTGGAACACAGCTCCCGTGCGCCCTCCGTGCGCAGCCTGGCTGAGTCCAGCCACCACCTCCAGGACCAGCGTGCCATGGATACGTACAATGGGCACAGCACGCTGCTCACCCAGCAGTCAGGGGGGTGAGTACCAACCAGCCTAGTCCCTTGTTCTCATGAGTCACTTGGCTGATTTAGGGCTAAATTCCCTAGTTCTTGCTTGGCTACAAGGGAAGGAGGAGAAGTAAGACGGTTGGCATCATTTGGCCTCACAGTTATGGAGTGTGGTGTGAGTTCACCTTTAAGTGTGTCCTGCATATGCTTTTAGGTCCTAACATAAAAACATCCTGAGGTGTAAAGGTGGGAAGGTGCTTGCTAAGCCAGAAGGAGTGTGATCGGAGGGAGATAGGTTGGCACATCTCTGAAATGTGGGACGTGGTGGGGAGCAGAGATGGAAGACCCTTGTGGCTTCCTTTTCTGGGCTCTTCCTCATCTGCCTGTGGTTTCCAGGTTTGACGATATTGACCTGCCCTCAGCGGTGAAATACCTGATAGCCAGTGACCCCAACCTACAAGTCCTGGGCGCTGCCTACCTCCAGCACAAATGCTACAGTGACAGTAATGCCAAGAAGCAGGTGGGCACCAGAGGGGAAATGTCTCATAAGCCTCTCCAGTATGGTGAGGCAGACCTGGGAGGATGAAGGAGATGGAGGGAGCCTCAGACCCCATGGGAATTTGGCTTGGCCACTCCACCCAACCTGTTTCCCATTGTAGGCTCGCAGCCTCCAGGCCATGCCCAAGCTGGTGAAGCTCTTTAACAGCCCCAATCAGGAGGTGCAGCGCCATGCAACAGGTGCCATGCGCAACCTCATCTATGACAATGCTGAGAACAAGCTGGCGCTGGTGGAGGAGAACGGCATCTATGAGCTCATGAGAACGCTGCGGGAGCCTGATGATGAGCTCCGTAAGAATGTAACAGGTCAGAGATGGTCTCAGGGCTGGACTGGGGTCCTCCTCTCACTGAGGAGGCATCTGGTTCCCCTGGCCTGTGAGTAAGGCCAGGGTGATACTGCATGAGGACAACTTTGTGTTGTCAACACACACCTGGGTGGTGTTCCCAACCATGAGCCTCATGGCTGTGAGTGCCCAGTGTGAGTTGGGCCAGGGTGGACATGCTCTCTAGCTCTTCCCAGCACTGAGGATCCATTTCTTCCATGCAGGGATCCTATGGAATCTTTCCTCCAGTGACAACCTGAAGGATCGCTTGGCTCGAGACACACTGGAGCAGCTCACAGACCTGGTTCTGGTCCCCCTCTCTGGCCTGGGTGGCTCTGGTGTCATCCAGCAGAACCCCTCCGAGGCAGAAATCTTCTACAACTCCACAGGCTTCCTCAGGTACCTGCTCTAGACCAGCCTCAGTCCTACTGTGGATAAAGGTTTAGATGGGAGGAAATACCATCTGTGCTGCCAGTCTAAGGAGAGAAGGTTGCTAGAGCTTGTTTTTGAGGTCCCCATTCCTTGCAGTGCTTGTGCATCAAGGCAAAATGTTGTCAACCCCATGGGACAAGCCCTCAATGCTGTAGTGGGGCACCAGGATGAGTGGCCATGATGCCACTTCTTGCCATGATGGACCCTTTTCCCCATGCAGAAATCTGAGCTCGGCAAGCCAGCAGACCCGGCAGAAGATGCGTGAGTGCCATGGGCTGGTGGATGCTATGATCCACTATGTGAACAGCTCCCTAGAAGTAGGGAAGTCAGAAGACAAGGTGAGCCTCGAGATTTGCTCTGCTTGGAGGGCTTGGGGCTTCACTGCCCTTAGATGGGATGTTACTCATTCCCTTGTGTCCCCCGGGGTCACCAGACATCCTTCACAAAGTGGGGAAAACAAAGCTGGGTCTGTCCAAGCTTACTGGGCGTAGTGGGGTACTGTCAGTGGTGGTGCCACGGATGTGACTCTGAACAGGGAGCCCGTGGGACTGCCCTGGAGGGTGTGCCAATTCACCAGGACTGACTTCCATTCTTCATGTCCCATTTCTTTCTCCAGAGTGTGGAGAATGCTGTCTGTGTCCTGCGCAACCTCTCCTACCGTCTCTACGATGAAATGCCTCCCTCCTCCCTCCAGCGCCTGGAGGGACACCGCAGGAATAATGGTGGAACCATGACAGGGGAGCTGGTGGGCTGCTTCAGCCCCCAGAGCAAGAAGGCTCGAGAGGTCAGCAGGTGGTGGTGGGGGACCATGGCATTTTTGTGCTGGGACAGCTGCATCACTTGGGGTGTGGAAGCATGGGAAAACAGCTGGTGAAACATGGTGATTGTGGGTGGAGGTGGACACCAGCCTTGGCTGCTGGGTGGGACACATGGGTGAACTCAGAGGGTGAGTCAGGTGCTACTTGCATGTAGCAATGGGTGCAAACCCCCCCGCCTCCCCACGCTGAGGGGTATGACACAGCTGGGTTGACATGTCCACTTCCTGCCAAGCTGGAGGTGCCCACAGCAAGAGGACAACACAGAGGGATTGTTCTCTCTGGGTCTAACACTGCTCCCCTTGTCCCTGCAGCACTATCTGAATGCAGACATTGTCACTTTTACGGAGGTGTCCAAGGACCCCAAGGGTATGGAGTGGCTCTGGAACCCACAGATTGTGGGCATCTACAACCGGCTGCTGCAGCGCTGTGAGCTCAACAAGCACACTACTGAGGCAGCTTCGGGTGCCTTGCAGAACATCACTGCTGGGGACCGCAGGGTGAGGACAGAGGAGGGGAGCATTCCCTGGGCTTGTACCATCTTGTTTGGCTGTCACTGCTGGTCACAGCCCTACCTGGGTGGAGGAATGTGACCATCACACACCTCGCCAGTCAGGTCACCCTGCCACACTGAGCAAGAGGAGGAGGGGGATGGAGCAAACCTGGTGGGTGCCTCTACTATGTGTTTTTGCCTCTGCAGTGGGCAGGTGTGCTGAGCCGGCTGGCCTTGGAGCAGGAACGCATCCTGAACCCTGTGCTGGACCGCGTCCGCACTGCTGACCACCACCAGCTGCGCTCCCTGACAGGGCTCATCCGCAACCTGTCCCGCCATGCGCGCAACAAGGATGAGATGTGTGAGTGCTGGGGAGGGCAGGGCTGGGAGGGCAGGACCAGGGTGGCACAGAGAAGCCCACTGGACGCTTTCCATCCTTTGATCCTTATTTGGCCTCCGCTTACCTTCAGGCATGTCTCAGCACCTTCCCGTGTCCATGCTCACAGCTAGACAGTGTGGTGTCCTGTTTGTCCCCAGTGACCAAACATCCCTGGCATGCTCTGCTCTGCTTCCAGCCCCATTGTCTTCCTTGGCTATGCATCTATTGCCTCAACCCATCTTGCACACTGCTCCTCTCCCAAGTACCATGGAGTCTTAGCAGAGAGCTTGAAACAACCCTGGTGCTCTCTCATGGGTCCTTGGCTGCAAGGCTCCTCCCTAGGTCACCATGGGGGTTGGCCCCTAGACCTGATACATTGCCTTTGTCCTCTAGCCACCAAGGTAGTCAGCCACTTGATTGAGAAGCTGCCAGGGAGTGTCGGGGACAAGGCACCGCCTGCTGATGTTATCGTGAACATCATTGCGGTGCTCAACAACCTGGTGGTGGAGAGCCCCATGGCTGCTCGCGACATCGTCTACTTTGATGGCCTCAGGAAACTCTTCTATGTCAAGAAGAGGAGGGACAGGTGGGAGCTCGCTTGTCTATTTTTCTGCCCCATCCACAGTATTTCCCTCACTGCAGCCATCTGTTTTTCCATCTGGGTGCTTCTCACCGCTCCTAGTAGAAGCACTTTGCCAACAGGCCTCAGACTTTATGGAGTGGTATCCTTGGGCTGGTGGGTACCCTTCCATGCCCTGTGTTACCCAAAACATGATTGTATTTTCTCTCTCTGCTCCAGCTCAGACAATGAGAAGTCCTCCAGGGCAGCAGCCAGCCTCCTGGGCAACATGTGGCAATACACCAAGCTCCACCGGGACTTCAAGGTGGTACGTACCTTCCTTTGGTGTGGGAGCCTGGGGAAGAGCCCATGGGAGTCATGGCTGGGGGCTTCACCCTGGAAATGTGTGCCACCCAAATGCTTCAGGGCATATGACTTGCCCCGACTCCACACCTTCACTTCATGTAGAGGTGGGAACATCCCCAGAGCATCATCCTTATGGTGCCAGGTGCCTAAGGGGATGGGAACACCTACATGCCCAGGGTGGGCACAACATGCCAGAGAAGAGTATGTTTGCATTCCCAGTCCCTACCTCATGGCAAGGTGCGGCCACAGGTGTCCTTGAACAGGGGTACTGACAGCACCAGGGGTCCCCCCACTGGGTGACAAGTGGCCATTTTTCTTGCAGAAGGGGTACCGGAAGGAGGATTTCCTCAGCCTGTAAGAACAGCCCCAGAGAGAAGGGACTACGCAGCCCCATCTCCTTTCCAAGACACGTCTTGCTGCCTCCTATGAACCCCAGAGGAGCCACTCACCTCAGGACTCCTGCTCTGTAGCGTAGTCACCACTGTTCCTTGTGTCCCTTGCGCCTACCCCCTGCTGCTGGGAACCCTGTCTCTGGGCTGGTGATGCAGGAGCTGAAAATATCCCCCCAAACCATTTTTGCACCACTTCAAGCTTGGCAGAAGGGCAGGAAGCTCTGGCGATGCTTTTGGGGGTGTCCCTATCCCAGCTGCCCCCACTAATTAGGGCTGAGCTCCCAGAATCTCATTGTGCTGGGCTGTGCCCTGCATGGGGATGGGGCTTTGTAGAGCATGGGAAGGGGCCATCCATGATGGCCAATGGTGTCTCCTTGAAGTTTTAAGGGGCTGCACCTTGGCTGCAAGGAGCCAGAAGCAGCATCAGTGCCCACTTTGCAGCAGGGACCCCATAGCTGCCCTGTTAAGGACCTGGGGCTATTCAGGACCAGTGCTGCGTAAGCAAGATCCAGGCAGGGCCAGCTAGCTTGTGTTTGCTGGGTGGCATCTCCCCGTGGGGTGGGGAGATGCCCTTGGTGCCCAGTGCAGGTGGGGCCAGCATGAGTTCAAAGCTCACCCAGCAGAGGCAGAGGATTGGCATGTGCGGGAGGCTGTGGGTTGCTTGGATCTGCCAGTGGGGTTTGGGACTGGGGAGGGAGACCCTGTGCTTGGGTGTGCCCCATCTAGGAAAAGGGGGTAGAGTAGGTATGACAAGGGCTGGGAAGTCAGAAGTCAGCAGATGCCGGGGGGGGGGGGGGGGGGGGGGGGGGGGGGGGGGAGGGAATGAGTGAGCAGAGTGGAAACAAGGGACCTCCCCCCTACTGGATGCGACATGTTGGGACCTGTTGGGAATGGGGCAGTGCATTTGTCCCACCAGCTCTCCACATAGAGGCTGTGCACTGTGTATCCCCCAAATAAAGACCCTGAATAATATCCCTGTGCTTGGCTAGCACCTGTTAGCACCTGTGGATACTGCCTCACCGCTCATTGTGGAATCCACCAGTGTCATCCATGTCCCTGCAGATGGACCAGACCCACTGGAAGAGCAGCATTTTATTGCCACAAGAATTTCTGTGGGGCAGAGGGTGATGCTGCCTCAAGCAATTAGGGTAGGGGAATGAGGGGCAAAGGGATGTGGGTGCATGATGCTTCTCCAAGGGCATCACCAATCCCAATGTTTGTCCACCAGGCAGAAAAAAATGTCCCTTCTACCCAGGGAGAAGGACCTACCACCCAAGGGTGCCCAGGTACTGTGGATAGGAATGTCCCCCACGTGGTGGCTTTTCACCATGGAGCATGTTGCTAGGAGCCAGCTCCTCTCCTCCCATCTTCAGTTCTTCACTGTGCCTGGGATCCTGGAACCATGACCAGAGTCTGTGCAGTCCCATAGCGTGTGGGGATGCTGAGATTCAGCAGCTTGGCTATGGCTCTGCTCAGATGTCATCCTCTGTCACCAGGCAGTAGAAGTCAGTACGGGCCCCGTAGTTGTGTGAGCCCAGGTCAGAGACGTCAATCTCGGATTGGTGGCTGTCCTTCAGTTGCGTGTCCTCCTGCGTGCCAGTGGCCAATGCTGTGGGCCCCCCGAGGACACTGATGTGGGGAGGAAGGGGACTTCTGAAAGCATATCCACGTAGGCCTGAAAGGAGCAGAGAGGGGTCAAGTGATGGGGAAGGGGTCAACCCAACCTTCCCACCCAACCCAGAAGAGGAGGTGGGTGACAAGTACCTGTACCCAGGTCTCCATCTGGGTGGGGGTCCCTCCGGCTGTCCAAGTAGCTGCTGTGCAGGATGAGCATGGGGTCCTTGTCCTCCTGTAGCTGGGTCTGTGGGTCCCCCATGGTCCCCCGGAAGGCCACCTTGCGTGGCAGGGCCAGGCACAGCTCCTTCCAGAAGTCTGACAATGGGGTCTGCATGGGGTAAGAAGGAGATGAGCTGTGCTGAGTTGCAGAACAGCCCTGCCCAGCCCTGTGCAGGGCTGGAGAAGTCTCTTCCTGCAGCTGGGAGCTCAGCCAAGGTGAAGGCTGTGCACTGCCATGGCAGCATACCCGCACAGCGACAGAGAAACCAGCCTGACCTGCTGGAGAGCTGCAGCTCCTAGCCTGGCCCTACAGTGTGATCTGTGTTGCCCTGGTTTCATTGGCCAGAGGACACCCTAGAGCAGGGCTCCTTCCTCTACAAGTTTGGGATGTGAACATGCAGATCTGGAGCCTGATATGAAATGGGGCACCAGGGTTGGAACCTGCTTGGCCCTTACCATGGAACCCGCTCGCCAAACCAGCAGGGTCACGGTGCTCCTGTGATGTTTCAGCAGGCTGATGGCAGGGTGTGTGATCTCCCGGTACTGGCTCTCAAAGACGATGAAGATGGGTTTCTTGGAAAGCTCTAGCAACCTCCAGAGCCCTTCCCTGTGGGACATGCATGGGGCAGGAGGTGAGGAGCTGCCAGCCCCTCTCTCCCAGAGGCAGGCAGGAGTGGGCTCATACCTAAAGCTGCTGTTGCACCAGTCTTGCTCCAGGTATGCAACCGAGAGGACCACAATGAGACGCCGGCACCTGCTCACATTCATGATGAGGTCCGCTGATGGCTCTGTGCCGGGGAGAGAAAGTATCTTAGCCCCTTGCCCAGTGTATTCTCTCCCCTCTTTGGTATTTCAGATTCAGGTGTCAGCATTGTTCCTCTGCCTAATGCCATAGGGATGGTGCCTACCAGCATTAGGCAGGATGTTCTGTTCATCCAGGTAGAGCTTGTACCCATAGCGGTTCTCCAGCTGTGGCTTGATAATGAAGTGGACAAACTTTCGGTCATCTGGAGCAGTGGCATGGGACACATAAGCATCATACAGCTTCCCATCTGTGTGGTTGGGGGGAAAAAGGGAGGTTAATACCAGAGAGGAACCTGCCCAGGCCCAGAGGTAGCTCATCCTGGGGCCACCCTCTCCTCTGCTCCCTTCTCACCATTCATCTCCAGCTCGCCGTAGTGGTTCCTGTACCAGAGAAGCACACTCAGGCGGCATCTGATATAGAGCCCTGCCAGCAGCACCAGGAGGGCCAGGACTAACAAGGCAGCCAGCACTGCACTCACATGCCCCACAACCTCTGCAAAGATAGTGAAGAGCATGGTGAGCATGGCTGGTAGCCCAGACCCAGCTTTCTGTAGTTCGCACCTCAACATGCAGCCATTTCTCTTTCTCCCGCTTTGTGACACCCATGGGGCCACCACTGCCACCCCCATGCCAGAGCCCTTCTTGGGTTTCCCACTCCTGTCCCCACCAGACCTTGCTCCCAGTGTATCCCTACCCCCTCTCCGCAGGGTGAAGGTGGCTGTGGCATTGCTGACCCAGCAGGCAAACACCCCAAAATCGGCATCGCGCGTGAGATTGACCTGCAGGACAGTGGCAAGGAGACGCTCGGAGGCATTTTGACCAAGCCTAGGGAGAGAAGGAGCTACTGTGGGTTGGGCAGCCCAGAAAGCCAGATGGATGTACCCTGGGGCAGGCTCCTTACCACATGCTGTCTTGTCTGTTCTCACTGCCCAGCCACTGCCCATCCTTGGTCCAGGTGGGGACAGGCTCACAGTGCTCACTAATTGCCCAGCGCACAGTGCAGTTCAGCACAACCTGGCTTCCCAGGGCCAGCTCCAGTGTCTTGTTGGCAGCTGGGGCAAGGATTTCAGGAGGTACACTGCAAAAATCTGGAGGCATAGGGGGAAGGGGAAACCATCAGGAACCCAGCTTCTGGCAATGGGGAATCGTAGAACTGTTGAGTCATTACAGTTGGAAAAGATCTTTAAGGTCGTCAGCCCCCTCCCACCACGCTCATTAAACCATGTCCCTAATTAGAACTGTAGAATCATTAGGGCTGGAAAAGACCTGTAAGATCATTGAATCCAACCCCTGCCCACCCCCACCATACCCACTGAACCATGTCCTCCAGTGCCGCATCTCCACGTTTCTTGAACACCTCCAAGGATGGTGACTCCACCACCTCCATGGCCAGCAGTGCCACTGCTACTTCCACTACCACTTCCCTACTATTTAACCTGAGGCACGACAGCCCTGCTGCTGGCTTCCCCAGAAAAACAAGCTCTGCTGCCAGAGTCTGGCAGGGAGCAATGCTCTGCGGCAGGCTGGACTGGTTTTTGAGGCTGGGGCCCACCCAACAGCAGCAAGTGGGACCTCCACAGTGCTTGAGAGTGAGGGGGTTGAAAACACTTGAAACATTGATTTTTGCAGCCTACCTGCCATGGTTTGGTCAGAGACATTCAGCTGCTGGCATTGTGGAAGAAGGGACCTGGTGTCACATTTTCCGGGAGGACAAAGTCCACCTATTTCTGCCACAGGGTAGATTGAGGCTGGGACGGAGGAGAAAATGGAATTTGGTTTAGGGTGTTCCTGTGAGGCCAAGGTGAAACACAGCTGCCAGGTCATCCTGGGAGCCGCAGTCATAACGCAGCCGCTCTTTGAATGTGCAACTGGGGACCTTCCTTTGTGCTGCATGGCTTAGCCGTGCACTGCTTTTAGCCCAGTGTGCCTGTTAAAATTTCTAATTAAACCACTGGGTTTATTTATAGCAGCACAGGCTTCATATCTTGTGAGCTTTCACACCCAGTGGGTGCAGGAGGCACAGTGCTGCCCTGTGGCTGTGCCCAGGGACCATCCCTGGATGGCACTGCCCCTGGGGAAGAGGGGCAGCAGGGAGGACACCCCGCACCTCGCCAATGCATCACACTGGGAACAAAAGGTGAAGCAGAGCCTGGCTATGGGATTGGGCTCCTCTGTCCCTGAATACCCGCAGAGCCCCCAGTGTGGGTATTATGCCTGCTGGGATTAACAAGGACGTCACAATGCTGGTGTTTATGCAAGGCAGCACTACTGTAAACACATCCAGCCAAACTGCTGGGGCCAGGAGTGATAAAATCTGCCCTGCCCCAGAGCTTCTTCACTCCTGATTGCAAACTCTGTTTGGAAATGATGAAACCTGGTTTTCCCCCGAAGAAACTGTGTCTGTGTTGTGGGTGTTAGGGGGAAGCGGGAGGTCTGCAGCTGGGGATGGAGGTACCTCACCTACCTGTGGCACAGCAGCCGCAGCTCCAGGCAAAAGTGGGGTCAAGGTACACAGGGGACGCTTGAGCAGCTGGAAAATAATTGATACCTAAAGCATTAACTGATTTTTTTCTGTAGTCAAGGATGGAAGAGCAGGGGCTGGAGAGCCCCCCTGCCAGGCTTTTGCATGGGGAAGGGATGGGAGATGACACACTGGGGTGGTGTGGGGCTTTCCCAGCTTGGTGGGAATGCTCCGGTTGCATTCAGTCCTGGCTCACCCATCATTTTGTAGCTAGAAAGAAGGAAGTCCCAACAGGATGTGAGGTGGCTGGAGAGCTCAAGGAGGCCCTCAGCACATCCCTAGCCCCACGGGGAGTCATAATCTTTGCTCCAGGGGATGAAGTGGGTGCTGAAAAGGCAGCTCTGTGCAGGGCTGAAGGAGGAGTACAGGGGAACACATTTCCTACATTTTGGTTTGAGGGATAGTGCAGTTTTGTAGTGATCCAAGCACGACAGCTGAACTGTGGTATCCCCCTGGAGGAAAGCCATGGGGAAAGCAAGGCAGGCAGGGAACATACAGCAGGCATGGAGGATAAGCAACAGGGCTTGTGGGGAGAGGGTGAGACTCTACTGACCCCAGCCAAGACACTTCAGCGCAGAGTGGGAAGCAACGGAGAGTTGTGTTTACCTGCAGGCGATTCCTCCAGTCTTCCTGCCAGCCATCTTCCCCCTGTGCCACTTGAGCTGACTGCCAGACAAGTGCTTTCGTTGGGTTTTTCTCTGTGCTTTCTTTTCCTTTTTTAAGTTATTATTCCCTCCTCCCTTCTTCCTCTCCCCCCCCTTCTTCAGTCCATGCCCTTCACTGGGTTCCCCAATCACTGGGTGCCAGGCCTGCAGAAGGGGTTGGCCATCCCTCTCTCCCTCCCCGTGCTCCACCTCCACCTGAACCTGTGGGAGAGAAAAAAAAACACCACCTAACTTCGGCTTTGTGGGAGGGGAAAAAGAAAAAAGAGAGAAAAATGGAGAGGGAAGGCAAGCCAACCAACCCGCCAGCCTCAGGGAGCTGGGTGCACAGCTCCTTGCAGCTGGAAGAGACACTGGGGTGAGACAAAACCTGCACCCACTTACCCATGGGTACCAGCTCCCCAGGCTGCATGGGGGCTTGGGGGTGTCTGCTCCTTGCAGAGCTGTGGGCAGAGCCCGGGGTGTAATATGGGTCATGGTTTGCTGAGCACCCACAAGCTCAGGGCTCTGGGGCTTGGTCAAGGAGGGTCTCCAATAGTGTGGAGTGGACATGGTCTCTTGGCAGGACGAAGCTTGTACCATGGAGTCATTCCTCTAGCTTGTTTGGGGAGCTGGAGCCAGGTGATATGTGAGCAGCAAGTGATGGCTGTGATAATTACCTGTGAAGAGGTAATTAAAGCCATCACACAGCCTAGGTTCTGGTTAAGCTCACGGTGGCAGTGGTATTTGGTGAAAGACCAGTGAAAGAGCATTGCCATCCTAGCTGTGCCTAACAGCACTGAAAGCATTGGAGTCTTCAATAAGGTAATCACACCATTTGGGGCTGAGAGAAAAAGTGGCTGTTTCCAGAAGTGGTTATTTCCTCCTGAAAAGCCCCACTTCAGCAGACCTCTGATGGTGAAGGTGGGGTGGTCAGCATTTCTGAATGTTGCACACTCCTGGAATTTTCCAGGCATAAAGCTACATGAACAGCAGCGATAAAACACAACAGTGTTGTGTTGTGGTGTGGAAAGGGCTGAAAATGGGGGGTTTCTGGCTCCTTGGGGATTTTGATGGTGGGGAAGGGTGGGGAAGAACAAGGTGGGAGACAATATAATGGCCCCCAAACCTTTTGTTTGTCTGTCTTTTCTATGAAGCTTTTTTGTTGTTGTTGTTTTCCTTTAAAACATACAAAATAGTTTTGGTTTATTCAAGGCTTTCTGTTCAAAGGTCCTGAAGTGCTCTACTTCCAGTGCAGCTCCTTCTATCTGCATTCCATCAGAGGGTTGTTGAAAGTAGATTCCCACTTACAATATGTTAAAAATTAACCCCACATCAGGACTGCAGGGCTCAGTGTGCACCCGCCTGCTCCTTGGGCCACTGCAATGCTGTTTGCATGTCAAGCTGCAGCCCTACAGCTGCTGGCTGGTCCTGCATGGGAAAAAGATGGCGGGGCTCCCCTTAGCAGGTGGCCTTTCCTATAATTTGTGTTCTCCTGACCCTTCACCAGCTTCATGCACACTACTGTGCTCACTTTAACGTCTGGACTGCAAACCCCAGTGTAAACCAGTTGGCTCTTTAGGATGATAAAGGATTCCAAGGAACAAATGGCAAGGGCAGGAAACCAGGGGCTGACTAAACCTTTCCTGTCCATCAGAGCTATTTCTGTGGGCAAGTGGAAAGTGGGAAGGAGTGGAGATGATCTTGATCACAGTGGTAAAGGGACAAAACAAGCCAGACGGCTGAGGGCATTGTGCAGCTTGTTCTGCTTCCCTGCTTGATGCTTCGTGGCTTTGGGAGTGCAGTTTCCTTTTGCGTTCACGTTGGTGCCTTCCTCTGCAGTCCTGGGCATGGGCTCAGAGGCATATCACCCCCAGAGTGTCACCTGCTGTCTCTGCTGGCCTTGACAGTGGGGCACAGCCAGCCCTGTCTGCAGTGGACCTTGGGGACTATGGGAAGGAGCTGCAGAGCTGCATCCAGAGCCCCCATCGAAATTCTTTCAATCTGAGACTGCCACTTTGTGCTATGCTGGAGCCTGTGACCCTGTCTTGCATCCTGCTGCTGAGGTGAGTGTGCACTGCTTGGGCAGGAGGGTGGAAATGGCTGTATCAACATGAACTCACTAATAGCCGGTTCTTGATGCATTTAACAGCTTGAAGCTAATTAAGTTTGAGCTACTTAGAGCTGCCAGGCGGCTGTGTTCCAAGGCTATTAGTGAAACCAGGTTCATTTCCAAGTGCCAGAAAGGAGAACACTGCTACAGGGTGAGGTGCCACCTAGGAACAGATGTTTAATCACTGTCACTCTGCTTCTTTTCCCAGGAAACACAGCAGGTGGTAACTTCTTGCTGTTGAATCAGGGGCAGGGACTCTGCAGGTGTGGGGCTGTTCTGACTTCAAGCGAGCCACAAGCAGTGTGGCCTCTTGTGACATGCAGTGCTAAGAACAGGTGTTATTACAGAAGAAGCATTACCGTGTACATTTCTGTGCAGGAATATTGCTCTGTATGCAGCAGGGGTTCAGGCTAACCTGACTTTTAATTACAGAACATGACAGATCAGCCCTAATGAAATAGTTGATCCTGAGCTATGCCGCTCATCTTCGCTCGTCTGCATCATTCCGAGTTTGTATTATGGCTGCGTGTCTATTACACGTGCTCACACACTTGCACAGTGACACCTCCCTAGCTCCCACATTCTATTCAGTATATCCCCACAATTTAACACAAGTGGCCACCTGTGGCTATTTGACAGAGGAGGGGATGAAAGCGTGGAGCTCAAGGTTAAACTTCTGAACTGGTTAAAGAATTTCAGTTCCCATAAAGAAAAAGACTCTTAGGTCAGCTTTTAAACTTTCCAGTGGATCTGCCCCAGGGTTTACAAGGATGGTAACAAAGCTGGAAGCTGTAGTGACCTGATCGGTGCTCCTGTCTTTCTCATTAACAAAAGTTAGAGAAAAGTTGTTTTTCTCAAGTGTTTGCAGACCCAGCTCAGCAAGGGTCTGCAAACCAGCTACGCACAGGTCCAAAATAGCCTAATTTGGAAATGCTGTGGAGTACCAAAGGGCTGTTTCTGCACTCAGGGTTGAATGGAGAGTCACATGTTTGAGGGCACATTGTCATTTCCAGGTAATGGGAACAAAGACTTTGTTCCTTTCATGCAAATAACTGTCTCAATTTGGTAAAGCTACAGGTAGACCTGGCAGTTTGCAAACCTATGAAGCCAGGAACACACAAATGTTAGAAAAGTTCCGGTGACTGTTCTGCCACCAGACCAGCTGGGGCATGTAACCCCTGCTTTGCCATAGGCAAACTCTTGTGTTCACTGTTGTAGGGCTGTAAGGGAAGTAGTGATGAAATATCAAGCTGGCAGGGCTAATGGATTGTGCTTTGCAACAAGAGATAACACTTTCTAGCCTTGTGACTCGGGATTTTCTCTGTAGCTCAATGTACTTCTGTCAGCCCAGCATGTTCTTGCTCTTGTTCTTGACACCATGTCAATTTCCTTTAATTCTGCCACTAGCCAGCACCTCTCACTCCACCTCAGTGTGCTAAGCACAAATGCTTAAGCTCCAGCCTTTTTTTCATTATCCATGTGAAGAAAAAAGAAGTGGGAGTGAATGATCTGTAGGTGCTGTGAATAGGAAAGGGGAAGCAGGAAAGATAGCAGTGTGAATACAATGACTTTTGGTGGCTGAGGTCTGCTTGAGTTTGTACAGTCACTGTGTTTATTGACCATTTTTCTTGTAGTTGAGTTGGGTATATATTTGAGTTAAAGCAGATGCGGGGGCATGATAGGGCCCTGTGCAAAAGACAATCAGAATAACAAGTGCAATTTACTGAAGATTGGGAAAAGGATGGTTTGGAACCATCTGACAGCTATGCTGTGGTTGTGCTGCAAGGCAGATTGTGCTGGCTGTCATGAAAGAGGAAGGACAGTGTGAGAGCAGGGAGGTCACTGAAAGCAGAGGAAGAGGGGGCCAAAGTGCAAGGAAGATCTGGAGACGAAACCTGGAATGAGGTAGCCACTTTTTCCCATGATGCTACACAGGAAGGCAATGACTGATATTGAAGCCAGGTCATCTCCTGCAGGCCAGTGTCATGCTCGCCCAGTGACGGCTGGATGCTGCCAAACATGCTGAGCTCTCTGCATGGTGCTGAGGACTGTAGAGGAGCCTGGCTCCATTGTGTCATAGCCCTTCCTCAGCTGCTGAGTTTGCTGGGAAGACGCTATTCCCACCTCTGCTGCCACTTTCTTCCTCTTTGTGGCTGTATTAGTTATAAGCATCCTGGCCCTGTGAAGCTGCTGTCACCTCACTGCTCCCCTGTTCAAGTCTATGGTTGGTGACAGCCAGAGCACGTGAATGCCTCTCTGGCTGTGCTGGCAGGCTGGGGAGAGGGACTCAAGTCCATGTTTCACTTTCTTCCATGAGAGGAGGCTACACTTCAGTGGAGTACTCCATCATGCTGGGGGAGAAAGGAAAGGGGCATAAGGGCTTGGACTATTTGAACTGGGAAGAATTGGGGCTGTGGGAACAATATTCAGAGTGGGAATAGGACCTTTTGCCAAATATAACTCACTGGCCTTGAGACATCTAAAAGCCAGGCACTTGGACTGGTTAGTGATGCTAAAGGCCTGGAGGAGGTGGGCCTCATCTACGTGTAATGCAGTCCATCTTAAAATGAACATGTAGTGCCACAATCCCCAGGTAGCAGTGGCTGGACTCAAAACTGGAGTAGGAGCTATATCTCAAAGGGAGATGGAGGATCTGCTCAGAGCCCAGTGTCACCACCATCACTGGCGTGGTGGTGGGTATTGGCCCCATTGTGGGGCTCTGGTGTGGACTAATCCTGCACTCAGTCCTGCATGGTCCTTAGCATCTTTGGGGGTATTACCCACCTCAGTTCTTTCCGAAGGTTGTTGTGCTTTTCATCCAGAAGATGATTCTTAACTGACAGGGGCACATCAGGGACATACCAGGCTGCAATCAGTTTGACACACAGAGCCACATGCTGCAGGACACAAACAGAGTCACCATGGCAGTGAGGAGTTCCCAGGGCTACTTAACATGCCACCATCGCCCCAGTGGCCCCAGCCTCCTTCCTGGCTAGCTGCCCTAGTACTCACCTCAAAGAGGATGAGGAAGGCAAGCCGGGCTGCAAAGACATGCCAGAACTGGACAGTGTAGCTGTAGTCCACATCATTTCTGTAATCCCGGTACCTGTAGCAGAGCCTTCTCAGTGCCAGTCCCTCTCTTTACCAGGCATTACTCCCTCCACTGGCGTCTCAGAAGAGCTCTGGTGTCTTTACACACAGGGCTCGATGCCATGGTGAGGGGCTGGCAGGGATGCTACCAAGCACAGATTGCTGGTACCTGCACATTGTCGTCCCATTCTTGACCAAATCTAAGATCTCTACAGCCAGACTCGTGTCTGGCTCAAAATGCTTGATGTGGAAGACAGAGAGGCTGTGGTTGATGTAGCCAGTCAAGCAGCTGCAAGGGGAAAAGAGCACATCAATGCACATCAGCCCAGTGGTGAGGTGAAGCTCCTGCTTTGTGGTCACGCTGAGGGAGTTTATGGGAGGGTTGGAACAACTGACCAGCCACACTTACTCAACAGCAGTGCTGTTTTCTTTCATGCAGGGGCTGTATGTATACTTGTAGACCTGCACAGGGATGAAGTCAGATGTGATGGCAATCACCAATCCATTCCCGATGACAGCCAGGATGCCGATGGCTTCCAGGACCTGCAGCCAAATTCCTGCAGGAGAGGGGAAGGTTGGTGATGCTTCCTTGACAGCTTGCTAAAGGGTTACAAATACAGCCCCAGCTCAAGAATAGGGTGGCACAGACAGAAGACTGGGTCAAGGAAGGAGAGCTCCAAAGTGCCCGTCATTGTCTGAAAAGTCTGAAGTTGCTTCTCCTTCCCCGATCCACAGCTCTCCCTGTGCTTTGCTATCTCCAAAGTCAAGAGTGCATCCCAGCAAAGGAATGCTCAAGACCCCTTCAGATTGGAAGGGACTTAAAACCAGCACTGTTTGCACAAGCAGCAGTTCTCATGGGCCCCATCTCACCAATGTCATTGGCCTTCCTGGGCACCATGCGCCGGCGCAGCCGCATCATCTTGATGGCATCCAGGCGAATCTCAAAGAGGTTGTTGAAGAATGCCAGCAATGGGGCCAGGGGAAAGGCAGCAACAAAAATGGTCGTGAAGCTGTACTGGATCACTGCAGAGGGGAGAAATGCTAGGTGCTGGTGTGGAGCCAACATGGAGGGGACATCTCTCAGGGACAAACCCATGCTGTCTGGGTTTGTCCTGCTTTGTGGCTTTTGTTAGAGGGAATTTTCAGGATTGAAAGGGGAGATAAACCTGTCCAGGGTACCTCATACCCCCACAGGAGACACCCACCTCTTCCAGGGCTATCAGAGAGGGGGATCCTTGGGGCATAGTGGTTGAGCTAGCCAAGCAGAAGGACCAGCCTGGGGTAACAGCCGTCTCCTTGACACTCTTAGGTGGGGAGGGGAAGATCCCAGGCAAGGTTCCAAAGCCAACATTGCCTACTCTTTCTTGCTTTGGGAATGATCTCCTTAGTGGGACTGGGCATGGAGCTGAGTCTCAGCTCTCTCCCTTGCATCATGCTATTCCCATACAAGGAGGACACATGGCACTGCACACAGCATCCTGCCTTGCTCATCCTCTCCACCCTTACGTACCCATCTCCAAGAATTCATCAAACAAGCTGAAGATGTTGACCTCGTTGAGTTGATAGTTGCTGAGCCACTGCTTTTTGCAGGGGTCCTCAACCTCCTCCTCCTCCCCCAACACCAGGTGTTTCTTCTTGGGGCGCTTCTGCCTCTTTCGTATTTTGTGAGCTAGCCAGCTGCAATGGGAGGGAGAAATTTGTACTGCTGCCTGCAGAGTGATGGTGGGAGTGGCAGGGGCAGTCCTGGTGACCTGAGATGGGGAAAGGGAGGAAATCTTGGCCTGAAGGTCAAGGTTACTCTCAGTAAGAACTGGGAAGCTGTCCTGCATATTCAGGAACACCAGCAAGCACTCCAAAGGCTAGAAGAATGCTTACGGGACAAAGTATTCCACCACATTACTGATAGTTTGCTTGAGCATCATGATGATGGCCATCTGGATGAAAAGGTCAGTGATGCAGCCGCTGGGGTGGCACTGCAAAGGGATGAGAGGAGAAGGTTCTGAGGAACTGTTTGGCCAAGCTGGGATTTGGTTGTGCCTTGCTGGGCAATGGGGAAAGGCAAGGTAGTTGTGGTATGGGGTCAGAGGATTTTGTGGCAAGTCTCTCACCTCCTCCAGCCTCCACTTGCCAGCAATGCGCACATAGTTTCCTGGATGGCCATTGATCCTGAGTAGGGAAGCAAGAAGAGTGATATCTGTTGAGCCTTACCTGTGACTCCTCTCTGGATGAACAGCCAGCTGAGGGATGGAGGGCACCCTTCTCCAGGCATTAGCCTAGTCAAACGTCTTCTCCCATCCACTATTCCTTGGGGAAAAGCCATGGCCCTGCTGAGGTCCCAAATGGTTTACTCCCCTCTCACTTCTGCCAGATGCTCTAGGAAGGAAAGTAGATGGGCTGGGGTCCCCCTGGATCCCTACCATCACTCACCTCCCCAGAAAAAAAGCAATGTAGATGAGCGAAGAAAAGTTCGTCAAAAACTGGAAGAGGAAGATCTTGATGGTAAAGTTGTTCTCACGCTGGGAGAAGGTCCGTGGTTTCTCTGGAGACAGGAGCAGGGTGTTGATCATACAGAGGTGGAACCTTATCTCACTCCCCATGGATCCCATGGCAAGAACTGCCTGGTAGATGCTTTGTGGTTGTAGAGGAATGAAAGAAGCCACAAGACTAGCTGCATTTGGGGACCAAGGAGGAGGTGCCCTACAGTCCTTTTCTTTGGTGGAGGTACCACTGGGCAGGTTGGTGCTGTGGGGTGTGAGTGGGGCCAACCCCCAGTTTCCCTTACCCAGGTCACAGAGAAAGAGGGCCACGCGTCTGTTGATCTGCAGGAAAGAGGTGTAAAATAAGAAGGGAGAGTTGATGATGGAAAACAACAAGACCCAATGCCCACCTCATGCTGCAGTCTGCACCTTGGTCATGACGACAATGGTGATGTAGTGCAGCACAGCCCCTGTCATCACTGCCACCAGGTTAGCCTGCTCACGGAAGAACTCGGAGTCACTCTGGGTGAAGAGGGCCGTGGCGATCACCCGATAAATGACAAGTGCATGGGCGATGCCAATCAGTACAACAATCTGTGGAGGAAGGCAGTGGAGAGGTGAGAAGCAAGGAGGGGAGGACGTGTGCTCCATCCTGAATGAGTGCTTGAGAAACTGGCTCTCTTCACCAGAGCTCATCTGCATGTGGTCTCAGGTGCAAGCCAGTGCTCTTCAGCAATGGATTAGATGTTCATAATGCAGACATCTCCACCTCTACTTGTCTACTTCTTGTCCCATAAGGAGAAAGGACAATGTCAAGGATTTGCCTCTTCCTACCTTAAGTTCCTCCTGGCACTTACCATGAGCAGAACCAAGAGGAGCACAATGGTGCTGCGCAAGTAAGAGTGCCGATACCGCCGAGGTTCATGCTGCAAATTGTTGATCAGCTCCATAGCCAGCTCCTCCTGAAGAAGAATAAAAAAGTATCTCTCTCTCTCTCTCTTTTTCTCTCTCTCTCTATATACATGCACGAAAGGAAGGTTTCAATAGAGCCATGCCCAGATACTGGAAAGCCCAAGGGTGGCTGTGTAAATGGCAGTATGGAATGATCAGAGCCAGAGGAACAGGGCTGAATATCTGACAGCATGACCAGTCCTGATTGAGTTTAGGGCCTCGTGCAGGTGAACAGGAGACTAGCAATGCAGAGAAGTGCCTAGAATTTGATCAGATCTCTGGAGGGTTCTGTCTCCCCTGGGGCAAAGGCTCCAGATATTGGCTTTATCCCTTGTTTAAGAGCTTCCATTAGATGTCTGTATCCATAGACGGGTCTCTCTACTAAGTCATTTCTGTAGGCGCAGCTATAAATTACCTGAAGAGGAAAGCACTAAACGGGAAAGATGGCATTCTCACCTCATCTTCATCCCACCCATACAGCTCCCAGTTGGTGACCACTTGAGCTCTCTGCCTCTTCCACAACTCCAGGAACACAGTGGCTGCAGAAGGAGAAGAGAAGGCTCTAGATTATAAGAATTCATCCCTCCATCCCTTAGAGCAGGCTGGACTGTCATGAAACCATCTAACTGAATGGCAAATCAGCCCAGGCTGCTCTTTGCTGATGAAATACAAGCAGCCGCCTCTGTGTCTCTGCAACCACGATTCACATGCACCCCAGCATGCTACACCTTTGCAAATCCATTTACAGCTGCCTCTTCTTTTAGTCTGGATCGGCCTTCCTAAGCTTGTTCCTGTGTATATCAACCCATAGTGATAGGCAACTTTATGTCTGCAGCTGGCTCAGATCTGAGACCTCATTGTTGAGACATCTAGCTCAGGAGAGGCAGAGGAGAGGCTGTTGGATGCTCTGGAGGAGGTTGTAGTGGGTGAAGGATAAAAGCTCTCAAGAAAGGAGTATTTAAAAAGCAGAAAATTGCTGGGGTGATTTTTATCCCTTGTGCTGTCTGGAGGGGGAGCTACTGGCCCTGAAAGTAGAGGAGCTAAGGACTAAAAAACCCCGGAATGATGAAGCTGTGTTGGTCCCATTTCCTTCCAGATGCTCTTCCCATAAGCCATGGCAGGCTCTGTGTACTTGGCAATGAGACATTGACACCTACCCCAAATTGCCATGAACATGGCAAACACAACTGTCCCTTCGTTGTCAATCATGTGAGTGACCTGGAGAAGATCAGGGAAGAACATGATAGGGACAGCAGGCTGTAGAGGCTGCAGCATTTGGTCATCCTCATGTCACCCTGATCTCCCCAGAAAGAAGTAAAGATGGTGCAGGGAGGCAAAACACAGGAAGGGGAATGAAAATTGAGCTTGTCAGACAGTGGTAAATGCTTTCTCCTTGGTGGTTATGGAGACCGTGATCTGACTATACCTCTTCCTTTTTATGGAGGCTAGTGGAGGTCTCTAGCATGCTATAGCCAACGTGCAAGGATGGCTTTCCTTTCTGGTGGTGTAGGCACAGCACAAGCTGGGAGTGTTTCCCCATCCTTCATCTTGAGCCTGTCTTGGGAAGAGGGATACCTACCCTGGCATACGTGCAGGTGTCAGCGAGCAGCCAGAATGGGCACTTCTGGTCACAGAGTGGGCACATGATGGTGTCATTGGCTTCACAGATCTCCTTGCTAGAGAGAAAGGAGTGGAGGGAAGCAACAGCAAGTAGCATGCATAGCAAAGTCTCATGAACATGGCAAGGCATGGCATTCTCCACTTCCTTACCTCACCTGGCTGGAATTGAAAACAGTAATCCCAGCCACAAAGACCACCAGTCCAACCACCGCAGCAAATCCCAACAAGTATGTGTACCAGCCAAGCCAGGCGAAGTAGAGGGCCACCTTTTCACCAAAATAGCATCTGGAAGAAAAGTGAGACTTGCTTTGGGGATATTTCACCCCCAAAAGAGATACCACCTCCAGGAGGGGCAGAGCTGCCTGCATGTCTAGGGGTTGCACTGGGATCAGGAGAGGCAGTCCAAACAAGCTGGAAGAACCATACATTGACAGCTGTTTCACTTGGATTTCAGCGGCAGCACATGCAAAGGGAGATCCTGGGTTTCCTTGCATGAGTGAGGATGCAGTAAAGAACACTGGGGACATTGCTGTGGGGCTGCATAGCAAAGAGCTGCTCAAGCTGAGAGGTGAGAGAGGATGGATAGCAATGCAAGGCTCTCATGGGGGCAGAGATGACTTGAGGGTCTGACTCAAGGGTAAATGTGATCAGATTCATCATATGCCAGGTAAAAGCGGTGGGAGTGGTTGAGAGACCAAGTTGCAATCACTGTCTAAAAATCAAAAAGGCTTCAAAAAGATAAGAGGGCTGCAAGGTGCAATGGTTCTGAAATTAGATCAATTTCCCCTCCTGGGTTCATCTATTTCCCTTTAGTACTCTCATTTCATTCTTCCGACAGCATTATTTCAGTTCTTCAAGTGTGGGGAAGGGTTGGAGGTGTGGGTAAGAAATGACAGTGATGGACCCACTGTCCCTCCTACATTCCAAGGAATTAACTTCCCACCTGCAGTCAGAAGTGGTGCTGTGCTCCCCATCCTATGTAAGAAAATAATTTTTACTTGGCCCCTTAATCTTTCTGTGATAGCAACAGTTCATGTCAAGCTTAGAAATGGTGTTCTGTCTCACACTGAGTACCGTGGAGGCATCAAGGCTCCCTAGGGTTCCTGCTAGATTTTTCAACTGTAAGAAACATTTTATCTTCCTAACAGAGCCCACTGAAAATCTCTTGAAGCAGTGTATTATTTCTGCCTTCCTTCTCCTGGCCATGGAAAGTTAGTTTTTCTCCCTCCTTAAAAGAGCTGTGCTCTTCTGAGTTTTAATGTGCTTATATAGGCCCCTTGTTGCCTTTAATGTCCCAAGCTCAGCCTCAGGCTGAACATGTTCACTGGTGCTCTGTTCTCATCTAGCCTTCCTTTTGAACGTGGGAGCTGGTGGTTGAAAATGAAAGAGGCTAATTAAAAACCGTGCAGATGCGGGGGTTGTTTCATTCTGCAAAATTAGCAGATGAAATGCGGTGCCATGAGATACCCTTTAGGCTAAGAACTTTGCAAGCTGCAGAAGAGGCCCAATATATGTGAAAAGGGTGAGGTACAAACTAATGATTGAAAATAAAAAATGAAAAAAATGACAACACAGGATCTTGGGAAGGGTTTCGGGTGGGGTCGCTTAGCTAGATGGATCTGCTGTAACTCTTCTGCCGGTTACCTGATCTTCTCAATTGGCTGCTGGCAAAATATATCTCTCCAGCGGGCCCATTTCTCCTTCAGGAATTCCCTTACCTCTTCTTTCTGGAGAACAGAGAAGTCAGTAAAACACACAGGAATATTAAGGCAGCCTTAATCCCCAGCCCTGCTGCGAAGCTGCCATTGGGAACCCTTATCCAGGTGCATCTCAATACAGCCCCAGTCACCCAGAGTTCTCTTCCACTTGATCTGGCTCCTCTGCTTCTCATGGCTTTTCCTCCCAGGCACCCGTGTGCTTGGCCTCACCTCATGCAGTGGAAATGCTGCCTCAAAGACATTCTTCTTCATCAAGTCACGCAGCTTCTCTGGTAGCAGGAGGAACGGGGAAGATTAGTGAGACAAAGCATTTCTCTCTCTCTCATATGCTTTCTGACAGGCAAAATCACCCCAAAGCTTTTGGGGAGGCAGAAAGAAATGCCTGGGAGAGACTGAGCTATTCAGAAGGGATCAGCACTAATCCCTGTCATTGTGCTGCTCAGCCAGGCTGCTGCAGGCTGCACTGGGGCTGGGAGTGAGCCAGGTAGGCAGGTCCCTAGAGACAGCAGTAGAGCCAGCACCCTTTCTACCTCCCCTGCTGATCCCAGAATGCTGGTGAAGGATAAACATTTTTGGAGACACAGAAGAGTGGCAGTAGACTTGGTGAGAGGGGCAGTGATTCCGGCAGTCCAAATTTCCCAGCTGTGGGATGAAAAAGCAAATTCACCTTCCAGAGCTGCATCCTGGCTCTTTCCTCTTTGTCACATCCCCACTCTCAGGTGTGGGATGCCTAACACAGAGCAGGAGCTGTGCTACCAGTACAGACTGTGCATTACCTTGGAGATAAAGGGGATGGATATATGGGCCTACTGGCCCCACTCCCTTACCGAGGTCGGGTGTCACTGTGTTATGCAAGATGAAGTTCACGATCCGTATCCTGAGCAAGGAGAAACTAGGGTTAAAGGCAGCTCTGGGGATACAGCCTAGTGTTGTGGCCCTGTAGAGCTGGGCAAGAAAATCCAGAGAAGGAAGTGGGGAAGAAACGGGGAACTGGCCACCTTGCACCAACAGTGGCAGTTGGCTTTCTGTCTGTGCCTGGCACAACTGTGAACTGAGATAGAAAATGGGTACTGGTGTGGAGGTAAGGGACTGCAAGGTCTAGAAGCCAGTAGTCCATCTCAGCACCCACCTGGTGGTCACTGGTATGTCCTGCTGGGCATTGAGGTCTTGCAGCCTGCTGTCGGGGTTCCTCAAGAGCCACTGGTATTTCCGGAAGAAGTGTTTTGGGGCACGGACCCCATAAAATAGTTTCTTGTCCTCAATTTTCTAGTGGGTAGAAGAGAAAGGCTAGCAGAACAATGTGGTCAGAGAAAGAGGCAGAGCTACAAAAGCCAGGAGCTGCCTGAGTCCTGGAGCTGGGATTTTCCCTCACTGAGTGTACCATGTGTTTTCCAGTACTGATGCAGTGATAAGTGTGGGAGTTCTCTCAGCAGCCCAAACTAGGCTATGATCCTAGGTTACCACGTAACTGCTGCCTCTTACCTTGATGGTGAATCCCTTCTTGCTCAGCTCATCCAGGAACTTCTTCCTCTTGACCTCTTTCTCACCACCCATTTCATGGATGTCACTCACAAGGACGAAATCCCACTTCTCTTCATCCTGTCCATAGAAAATACCAGGGAATTAATGGTGTTGATAAGCAGAGAGCTCTCTCTCAGTTTCAGCCTCTCAAAGGCTTCATCATGCCTGTGTAGAGGAGTTCTGGGGACTGAGAGTGAGTGTGAGGATGGGAAAGCTGAAGCAGCTGCTGACCTAACACCCACTCCCCAACCAAAATCCAAATTTCTGAGCTCTGAACTCCCTCTGAGTACAAACAGAGCAAAGCTTACCGTGAGGGCAGATGGGTCTGAGTCTTCAAAAGGAAAACTTCTCCAGGGAGTCAACAGAATTTCCTCCTGTGAAAGAGAAAAGCAGCAAAGAGTTCAGTGAGCTCCTTGGGAGATTCTATACCAGGACACAGAGCAAACCTCTCTCTATGAACATCTGGATGATACTGTGATACTTGCAGTACATCAAAAGAGACAGAGCCCATGTAAGTAAAACTGCATTATAACCCAAAATCAAGGTCTACCTGGCCCAGTTTTCCTCTCCCAGGTGCCACGAGGGGATGCCAGGGGAGGAGAGTAAGAGCAGGCATGTTGGAAACCTTTCCCCTGGTCTCCACTTCCAGCATAATTATGCATCCAAGTGGTGCAGTTCTGAGGTTGGAGGAAAGCAAGGTGATGCTGTGGCAGCAGCTGCTCTCTGCCAAGGATGATTTCCCAGCTCAGGGTGCTCTTCCATAGAAGAATGCTGTAGGAGTACCCTTGGGTGGCCTGGTCCTGGTGGTGGGTGCCCAAAACTGGGGCACATCAACTTTGAAACCACTTTGTCCCTATCCTCTCTTCCTAGCTTCCCTGATGTGATCTCACCCTCCTCCCACAGCCACAGTTGCTGCTTAGGCAACAGGGGATTAATCCAACGAGTCTTCAGTGGATTGGCAAAAGCGTGCTGGGCTTCATATCCCAGTAAGTGCAATGATAAAAAAGATGTGCTCTGATTTTTTTGAATTGTTTTGCAGCTCTTTGGTGTGACTCACAGTGTGGCCCCACAGACAGTTATTCTGCTGTTCCCAGAGGCATGGCGTTGCAGTACAGAAGGAGCTGACAGGGGATGGGGGATATCATCAGCCTGCATTGTCACCAAATGCTTTTGTGACTTTGTATCCTCTACTAACAGTGCCCAGACAAGTTCATCCAGCTGTAATCTCAGGAGTGGAGAGGTGGTGGTGCAACCAAATTGTGATGTAAAGCCTGGATCTCAAGCTTTCACTGAGGATTGAGGCCATGGGAGCAGGTGAGACTGGGATGAGGAAAGGGCTGAAATACTCTGTGAAATCTTTTCTCACATGGAGCTGGGGCCCTGTCTTCACTCAAAGCAGAAAAGCAGTGGGGAGACTGAGACAAAGTAAGAAGACTTGAGAAGATAAGCATGTTTTTGAGTGGGAGAAGTGGGTTTGGGTACAGGTTGGTCTTCCCAGTTGGGTAAGCACCTAGATCACAGAGTAAAATCACAGAATCATTATGGTTGGAAAAGGCCTCTGAAGTTACTGAGTCCAACTGCTGACCCATCTGTACCATGTCCGCTAATCATGTCCCTAAGTACCACATCTCTATGTTTCTTGAACACCTCCGCGGATGGTGATTCCATTACCTCCCTGGGCAGCCTGTGCCAATGCACTACTCCTCTCTCTGAGTAGAAATAGTTCCTAATATCCAATTTGAACCTCTCCTGGCATAACTTAAGATCATTACGCATAGCACAGCAGCTCTGCCTATCCCTGTCCCAGAGGCCCCTTTGTGCACAGGAGTCCCAAAAGGCTCTGCCCCAGCTGCTGTTGCTCTGTTGCTGGCACAGATGTAGCCTGACAGCATATCATTGCAGCTTGCCTTGTCTTCTTCCTGCCTGGCTGGTTTGACAGTTTGACTTTATGATCCTAGAGGACTTTTCCAACCTTAATGATTCTCAGTGTCATTCTGCACAAACTGTAACATCTGTCAGCCTGTAACATCTGCCAACTTCATCACTGATTTCTGCAATGCAGAGGAAGAAACCCTTTTCTGGCAGGTTTAATGGTGCTCTTCGATACACCTCTATATGGCTGGTCTGCTGGTACTAACCCCAATATCTGTTCTGCCTGTACTCAGCATTGGAGCTGGACCTGCAGAGCTTCATTGCAGCATCCTTCCTCTATCAGCTCTAATGCTGTAATGAGGCTGGTCTCTTGAACCTGATGCTGCCAGATCCTGCCCCTGCTACTACATACTCCCAAAATAACAAGTACTGGTTTTAATCCCAAGAGGGACCCATTGCTTTTTTTATTTCCCTGACAAATGCTATGAATCAGTGGGGTTTCTTCACAGGTCACCTGCATATGGCTCTAGGCAGTGAGGATGTTGTGGGAGCAGGGTCTGCAGCAGCTCAGCAGGCATGTCTCTGTGTTCTCATAGCAATGAGATTTACCACCTGGTCCGTCCTCTGCAAGCACCTTTAGTGTCTCTGCATAGGACTGAAAAATGGGAAGAGCAGAAGAATTTGGAAATTATTTGCAGATCAGTGCAGGCAATTCCCAGTGCCCACCTTCAGAGTGGGAACCAACAGTAGTCATATTTACCTGCAGAGGGTGGTTTGCAAACCTGTGATGACAGAAGAGAGGCATTTCAGCAGATTTAATTGATGCAGACTGCTGACATCCCTGTGTATGGGGCTGAGCATGAGGCAAAAGCTGCTTTAAGCCTTGGCTGTTCTGCAGAAGCCCAGCCCCCATATGGAGCTTGTGCGAAGGGACAGCTGTAGAAGGCAGGGACATAGGACCACTGGGACTCTCACATTTATGTTGTTTTTTTTTTTTACCCAAGGGACTGGTAACACTACTTGATGATGGCTGCTTTGCTCTGGCAGCACGAGGCAGCCCCATGTGCAGTCAAGTCTCTGAAGTGGTAGTATAAACCATGGACTCTAATCCTTCCTATCAAAGAGGACAATGCCCATTTAGCCTTTTTCCTGCTCAGTGTTTGGAGCAGGGTTGGAGGCATACTGTGCCAATGTGTGAGAAGCATGCTGCACAATGAGCGGTGTTTTAATATCAAGGAGGGTTTGTGTGCCCAAAGTTTCTCTCCAGCTATATCAGTGGGTCCTAGTCCCCTTGTATCCAGATGCTCTGTGCAAGAACTGCTTGATCCTTTAGGGGTGCCCTTCAGTTGGGAGTGTGGTCATGGTGCCAGTAAAGGATCTGAGTGGGATCCAGCACCCCTGTTTTCCTTCCCCACCACAGACTGTTAGAGGTTGGGTAGTTTCTAGCACACACGTAGCAATGACCAAACTGCTGTCTTATCTTGGGGAGTATTTTTACCAGTGCTTCCTGTGCCCTCCTCCTTTGCCCTAGAGCGCTTCCATCTTGCCTCATGTTTTCCTAAGAAATGTGACAATCTTTAATTGAACAGGCAGATAGCATGCCTGTGCTATTACTAGCTGTCCCAGTCATAGAGTTTGTCTGGCTTTCTGGATAACAAAAACTGTGCCTTTTCTTTCAAGTTATAGGAGCAGGGGGATTGGAACAAGATGATCTTTGATGTCCCTTCCAACTCAAGCCATTCTATGATTCTGTGATTCTATGAAAGTTTTCCTGAAACCAAACCACCCTTCTTTGATCTGCCCACTGGCAACTCTGAACTGTGGCACAGACATACAAAGCCCCACTGCCCTGACCCCACTGTCCTCGTTTCAAGGCTGCAGGTGCTATTGGATACTGCAGACTGAGCACAACGCATTGCTTTCCCTATCATACCTTCACGGTGAGAATGAAAGCGTTTGCTGGAAAGAGAAACTGAAGCTCTGTGGTACATTTTGAGTACCCTAGGGCTGAAAGCATTTGAGTAGTAGAGCTCAGAGCATATAATACACCAAATTTCCAAAATACAGGTGGCTCCAATGTACTGAAAACAACCTGTTGAAAACAGCTTACCAGTTTTTGTTTCTTACCTGCATGGTGAATTAGAATGTTTCTCTTCCTCCTGCTCTCCTTTTTCCCTGATCAGTCTGTTGAGCTGAGGACAAGCTGAGAGGCTCCCAGAGTTTCAGGGTTTCGTTGCAGTGTTGTTACTCTGCCTGAGGTTGTGAATGGAGCGTTGGCTTTGACTTCCGTGTGGGCCTCCCTCCAGCCTTGGGAGGGAGCTGCCTCTGCCTAGCAGTGGGCAGATAGCAAGGAGGAGGAGGTGAGGAAGTTGCCCTTCACCCTTGTTCAAAGGAGTGGCAAGCCCAGTACCGCCCAGCAGCGTAGGCAGGGAATCCTGTGTTGATGGCCTTCGAAGCTCCTCTTGCCAACACAGGGATAACAATGAGACCACTCCATCCTCATCCTCTGTGCCCATGCCTCTTACTGTGTCCTGTGAATGTTTCTAAATGGGGCTGAAAGGAGGAGGGAAGGATTAATACAAGTTCTAGAAAGCATTAAACTATTTCTTACAAAAGGTGAGGAGAGGGAAGGGAGAGCCATTACCTCCCTAACATGATCTTCTTAAATCTTGGAGTTGAACCATGGTGAACCTTGAGGTCCACGGAAAAGATGGGGTGGGAGCAGCACCGGCTTTGAGAAGGGTCAAGGAGGAACTTCTGTGCAGCCAAGGCAGGGAAAAGAGGCAAAGCACTAGTTTTCAGGTAGGCAAGAAGCATCTCCTTTGTGGTTTCTCCACTTGAATACAGCCCTCTTCCTCCCTACCTTGGTTAGTGGCACACTGTGCTCTACTCAACTTCCATTTCCCAATCTGGACTTCAGAAAGCACAGGAAAAATCTGGCTTCCTGGAAGAGCCAGTACTTCTTTTTCGTCACATCTCACTGGAAGCTGGTGCTTCTTTCTTCTGTATGTAATAGCATTGTTGTGTGCAGGCATTAGGATCAGGTATTAAGGGTTACAGGAACTTCTCTAAGTATTTTACAACCCTTAAGAACAAGTATTTCCTCCCTCATGGCTGAGGAGGGGAGCATCAAAGTGTGCCCTGAATGTTCCCCCAAGCCACGTAGGACTCCTGCCTCCCTGCTCCTTAACATCACTTTTAGTAGATGGGATTAACCAGAGCATAAGTGCTTCAGCCTCTGCTTTTCTGATTGCATATGTGTTGAGATGCTCCCTGGCAATCATAAACAAATAATTGAGAACTGTTTTTCTATGATTACAAAGACTCACTTCATCCAGACCACAGGCATGGAGCAGGCTTTAACTCTCTTCTAGCAAAAAGGGCCAGACAAAGGATTATGTATAAGCTTTGTCTGATAGCTCTCCCTATATCTAGGGAGATGCTGGGATATGCCTGTTGTTTAATTTCCAGGCTAAGAGCTGTCTTTCCCCAGGAGGGAAACCTGTAGCTGGGGCGTTTTCCTCTGCTCTTTGGATGCATCACTGTGGGTAGCTCTTAAATAAAACTAGTCCTGGAGGGGGAGGATCTGGTGCATTCTTTCAGGGAATGCAGCAGGCATTTCCACAGCTCTTTTCCTAGGCAAGCTAACATTGCTCTATGGCTTTGCCAAGTGCCTTAAACAGGCTATGAATCAGATCTGCAATTATTATCTTTTTAAAAAGAGTCACTTTTCAAATTTCCTGCTAAGTTTAAAACCAAGGGCAAAGTGAGGGAAGGAGTGGGCAGACCTTTACCCTCCTAGAAGTGATCTGTAGGGCTGGCCAGGAGGGGAAAACCACCTCGATCACCAGCTGCTCTCCATGGGTGTGGGAGAACACGTGTGTGTTTACATGAGGAGAGAGTAAGCTTTGTCAGATAGGATTGATTGTGCTTTCCACATCTCCCAACAGAATATCAAAGACCTTTGCAACTTGAGCACTGCTGGGTAGAAAGGAAATGGGGTTAGGTGTAGGTGTGACGTGTCTCTACCTGTGCATCTGTTTCTTTCTCCTGCAAACTTTGCCAAGGAGGAGTGGGAGGACTTTGCTCTGCACATGGGCCAGCTAATTGAACACAGGCAACACCTGCTTCCAGCAACAGTCCCATAAATCAGAGGCTTTACTAGTGGGGAAGGTGCTTGCAAACTTGTCCAAGGTATCTGACCTTGCATAGCACTTAGAAGAAACAGTGAAATTTTTCTTCTTCTGTTCAGAAGGAGTTTGGCTCTGCCTAGGCAGGATCTAGTTTCTTTTGCAGGGTGGCAAGTGACCAAATTGACAGCGCTCTTGTTTCAGAGCTTTCCTGCTTGCACAGCCATCCTGCAGTGCACTGTCTTGGGTTTTATTTCTCTTGGGGGAACGGTACTGAGTACAGCAGCATGGGAAACTAAGATCAAGGAGGGAGAGGTTGAACAATCTGCTTAAGACACGAGGTGTTGTGGATCTGCCATTCATTCATTGTTGAGCGATTGTAACAGCACAAATGCATTGTAAGCAGCTGGAATTATTTAAGATATTATCACCCTCAAATGTTTATTGCTGCTGGGGCTGGCCATGTGGTTGCATTCTAATCTGCCATGGTATGGCATCATGCCTACCTTGCATGATGCAATCCCCAGAGCCTTGAATTTGAAAGGTATTGCCTTCCTATGGGTCTGGCTGGAAGGATGCAAAAGAAGAAAGATCCTTCAAAAGAGGCATCCAGGTGTTTTTCAGTGTCAAACTGTAACTCTTTTTTTGCTGTGTTTCCCTGAAGCTCCTCCGTGCCATAGATGGAAAACGGAGATTCTTCACCCTATGCAGCTACGCTGCTTGTACAGCAGAGATGGCAGCAGGCTGCTCGGCTTCGTATGACAGCCCAGCGCCGGACAGAACCTACAATTGCAAACGTTTGCAGCTCTGTTTGTGCCTGGCTGGCTGCTGCCATCGTGCGGCCGCCTGCTCCGCGCACACCACACAGGCAGCTCCCCTCCCTCAGCGCCTCCTCGCGTCTGCCAAAGCGAAGCGGGAACAGAAGCGGTTAAATGGCGTTTACAGGGCTGGACGGCACGCCCTGGGGTACTGTGGGAATCTAATGTTGTTTCTGCATTAGAATTGGATAATATTTTTTATTTCATGAACTCCGTTGTCATAGTTCTTTTTGGGAGTCCTTCTACTTAACTTGGGGAAGATCTCTGATAGTTTACGTCACTTATCCTCTAGCCAAATCTTCCCAGGAATGCACGCTCTGTATATAGGTGTATATTTGTATATTTTGTCACACACATTGCAAGAATATCCTGCACGAGATCAAACCAGAGAACAAGTCATGGTATGCCCGAGGAAGCGCCTGAAGAGACATCTGAAGGCCTGGCATCATCCCCCCCGGTGCTCTTTGTTTAACGAAGACTTCGGAGACAATCACCATATCAGTACGACAAGAAGAGCACTGAGACATCTTGGAGACAACAGGATGGCTACTGACTGACACCAGATAACACACGAATCAACAAACGTAAACTGATAAGATTGTGAATCTGGAGTACCCAGCCAATGGGGAAACAGGGCAGGGGGATGGGTAAAGGGAAAAACAGGGTATAAAGACTGTCATCTTGTGTCCATAGGTGCGCTCCTGCTTGCGGGACGCCCGCCATTGCAATCGCGAGTAAAATCTGCTTTTATCAGAGCTACCGTCCTGACAAAAATTATTTGGATGTTTTCAACAGTACCCGAGGCTGCAGCGCAGCCTGGCGGGGATCACTTCTCTCTAAGAAATCCAAGTGAGCGCGCATAAACTTCAACCATTTCCTTTCCTTAGCGCCCGCCCCGCCTCCTCAGACGGCGCGGTTACCCCGGCAACGGCAGACGCCCGCCCTCCCTTCCCGCCTTCCCCGGGACGCCCTCCGCGCCTGCGCACTTCCGTCCCTGCGTTGGGCCGCGCGCCGCGGCGCCCCGCCCACCCCTCCGCTCCGCCTGCGCGGGGTCGTTCCGCGGCCGCTGCCGCCATGAGGCGCGGCGAGCGCCGGGGTCCTGTCGGGCCGCTGGGTAAGGCCGCCTTGGAGGAGCAGCACCGGCAGCCCAACGGCGGCTCCCCGCCGCCCGGCTCCGAAAGAGACGGCCCCGCGCTCGGCCTCCGCCGCAGCACCGAGTCTGAGGTCTACGACGACGGCACCAACACGTTCTTCTGGTGAGTGCCGCCAGCCCCGGGATCGGCGCGCCCCGAGGACCGCCTTTCTCAGCCGCGGGGTGAGCGCTGAGGGGCTGTGGCGCGCCCCGCCTGCCTGCAGCGTGCTGCCGGCGCTCGGCTGCCTCCCTCGGTCTCGGTCCTTTCCATCCCCGTTGTTTCCTGCAGTCTGTAAGGTGAGCTTCGCGCAGGAGCGTGGCTCGCTCTGTCCCCAGCTGGCAGCGAAGCCCCTTGCCTGCAACACGAGCCGGGGCCGTGAGCTCTGCCTGGGCTGGACACTGATCCGCAGCGGGAGGAGGACGCTTGGCTCTGGCCCTGCCAATCTGAGCGGCGGCAGGGCTGGGGTGTGGGTGCTGAGCGCGGTATCGCTGCCAGCACGAGCTGCGAGGAGGCACTGAGATCCTGCTGGGTCGCCGGGAGGTCTCCTTGGAAGCATTTGCAGCGGCTGTCGTACTCTCAAGGGCATAACTTCCCTGGGCCTCGTGTAGGCTGAGCGAATGACCAAGTGGTGCCTTCTTATAAATGGAAAATGGGTAAAACCGATGCTTTCTTACTCTCTTTTTCATGTGGTTCTTGCCAGGTGTTTTGTGATGACTTACAAGCAGCATCTCTTTGAATCCAAACTGTTTGGGTTGTATTACCTCCCCTTCTTGCACCTTTCCATGTGGGTAGCACATAGTCTGTCACTCGTGCAGGGTTGGTGACCTGAAATGCTGTCACTACAGCTTATTTGTGAGGGTGAACTGTGCCTTTGAAAGCACAAATGTGCCACCCTTCTTTAAGGCTTCCCCTTTGCTGCTTCCTTCCAGGAGGACAGTACAGGCATGCATGTGACTGTGTTATAGAATAGTTCCTTAATTTCCATATTTTCAAGTGCTTTATTGCCCAGTAGTGTTTGTTGCATGTGCTGACATCAAGGATTGTAAGTGCTTGTAAAAGTTTGAAGCTTTTTCCTTCTGTTTCTTTTGACCTGCACATGATGGTGTTGCATGTTTGCAGATCGTTTACCAGAGGATAGGCTCAATTTTTTATTGTGTGCAACATAGATTAAAGAGAGGAGCTGCTTGCTTCCCATGGCCCTTTCACTGCTCTAGAGGTGGGTAGATGGAGCAGGGGCACTCTGTCTTTGCTCACATGAGTTACATAGAAAGTGCCTTTTCTCTTTGAAGTTAAAGGTGAGATTACTGTCATGGCCTACTCAGTATGGAAGAATTCAGGACTGTCAGAAATCTAGAAGTAGTTTGACTTCCAAAGGTAAATTTACTGCTACAAATGCAGTCCACTTTTGGAAAGGTGCTAGGTTTTAGCTGCCTGATCTTTTAAAATCTTTTAAAACTTTGCAATACGAATTAGGTGCTGTATAATGATGTCTTCTTTTTTGGGCTTAATAATGTTAAACTAGAGAGTACTGTAGTTTAATCACAAGGTGAGAACATGCTTGTGATTGGGATGCGAAGCTGGAAAAGAGGAGCTGAGGATCTTTTTGTTGGGGAGCAGGAAAGTTCAATGAAATAATTTATCTCCTCTATGTAATAAATGTTGGCTGCAGCAACTTTTCTTGAAGAAGAAAACTTCCTTCCCTACTTCTAGTAGCCAGTGAAAGGAAGTAGAAATATGGAGTTCAGTTGTCTTATGGATCTTGGGTAGCCTTGGATGCTCCTTGATTACCCATTTGGGATTATCTGGTTAGATCTTAGGTTTCCTAAAATTTCTTCTTAATGCAAAAAGCACAAAAATTGTAGCTAAGGAAAAGGAAGCCTGTAGATTCCTCTGCCTGGGTGTTTCTCATTTTATTCTGTGGAAAATATGAAGAGAAATCTTTCCTGGTGGCTGGCAGGCACACAGACATTTCTGTGCAGAGGAGGATTTGTGTGCATACCACCACTTCTGGAAATACAGCATTGGTATTCTAAACAAACTATTACTCAGGCGTAGTTCTTGTCTCTAAAAAAGTGGACTTCTGTATTTGCTGAGGTGCTTTTCTGATTCTCTGCTTGCTCAGAATTTACCGAGTTCGATCATAGTGTTTAAACAGAGGAATTTTACGTGAGGCTACTGGTGTGCAGCTCAGCCTTTTTCTCTCTTTTTCTTAATATTTAGGAATGCCCTGGCAGTGCCCAATTGTTGTTAGAACATCCAGGAGGTTGTTGTGCAATCTGACCAGGTCGTGTTAGTCTGTTGATGGCATTAAATGCTCTCGCAGTGGAGGGCAGGTGTTGCTAGAATGGCATTACCCTTTTGAAAGGAAAGCATTACGTAGTTTTGCAATAAGCAGATGGAAGACCTTCCTGCAGAGATCTTGTGAGTGTGTATTGGGGTGGTAGAGACTGGTTCCAGTGAGCTGCTTCAGTGCTGTGGTTTGAACTCTGCCTCATCAAAGTTGTCATATGACTTGAATCCTACAGCAGTTTACAGAGCAGGTCATCAGCCCCACAGACTGCTTTTATGCAGTTTCATCTGGCACAAGGGCACCTTCCTCCCATTCCCTTTTATGAATGTTCTTCCTAAAGTGTGTGTTGAGTTATTGTACCTTAACTGTAATGCAAAGTCACACTGTCTCAGAGGCGGTTTTAACCCAAAACACGAAGCAGAGATTTCAGTAGATTAAAATGTAAAAAAAAAATTAGCATTTAAAATAGATCATTTGGGGAATTTTGATTAACTTGCTAACTCTCTAGGACTGATGAATGGAGATGCTTTTTTTTCTCTTTTCTCATTGAAAGGAAAATGACTCATTTGCTGAAGCATGGTTTGCTTTTTAATCTGTTGTTCTGATTTCTCTATGGAAACATGTGCTGTTACGCTTCTCTTATCGGCTGGTTGTTTCAGGAGAGGCACTGACTTGTGAAAGTGGAAAAACTTATGGCAAGCAAATTCACCTTACTGTTTTGGAGCATGACAAATATGAACAGAAATTTAATCAGCATTGTGTGCGTTTATAGGTACAGTGAAGGTTTGCTTATGGTCTAAGAACAGGAACTTTTCAATTAGTTCTGTGAATTTAAGCAGATTTTAAAGCACGGGTTACAGCTTAAAAACCAACAGCTACATTTCCCTTGCATTACAGATGGAGATGCTCAGAGCTCGTGGGCAGTGTCACTGGGCTAAACACATCTTTTGGTTGCTGCTGACCTCTTCATGTGGCCTTGTGCAACATGAATGTTTGAGTTTGTGTCTCTGATTTGAATGCTATCAAGATTATGACCAAGGTTGAATTTTTGTTAAAGATTTCAAAACCTCTCTCTATATCCAATCAGGATTCTGTTATTCTTAATGAAGTCAAAATGTTGGTTAGGTTTATGTTGTTATTTTTTCTTGTATTTTCGTGTAACTTGGTCTTCGTGGTAAGTTAATCAAATGTACTGCTGTTTAAGCTGCAGATCTGCGGTACTTTCCATTTGTTGTAATTCATAAAATATGTCAGGTGATGTAAAGTTGTACAGAGCGTGGAGAATTCTGACATTAATTCCTCATTCAAAACCACTTTTAAGGCTTTATTTGGAACCAGGGAAAAAAAAGATTTGTTTGTGGAAAAAGTTTTTGGTAGACTGAGATGGGAATTGTTTTCACTGCCATTCATTCCTAGCGGTAGCTCTTAATGTCACCCCTTACACTCAAGAGGCCGACCTCTTCGGAACTTTGTTTCAACACAGAAATGACAAAAGGATTAGGACATTGATCCTTGTCATGTTGTTCTCAATGACTGTTATTGTTTTTGAAGTAATTATTGCATCATTTATGACTAATGAGCTTTAATGCAAAGAAATGGATAATCAGGGTGTGGTCCAATTCGCTTAAGCCAATTCTGGTTTGTGTTGGAGTTTGAGGTCAAGATGTTGTCATGATCCTTTCGGTCTGGGGATCTGATCCATCTGAATCTACAAAAAGAATTGGGAGAATGAAAGCTCTGATAATCATTTTATTGAAAAACTTACAGTTTCAAAACTGTGACAAAAAATCAATTACTATGAAAAGAGAAATCGGGGGGCTTTCCCAGTGAATAAACTCAATCTTTATTCTTTTTAAGTTGCACTGAGGGAGAAGTACAGTGACTGATGTAATTGCTCCCAGTTGGCATTTAACTAAGTTACAATGACAAGTAGTTTAATAAAAATAAAACTGGAATTATTTAAATGCTCCCAGTGTTTAAATGGAGACAGAGTTAGAAGTAAGTTATTGAAAGGCAGAAAAATTATAGCAGAGAAAAAATAAGATGCTTTATATTCTGGCTTTTTAGCAATTTGGGATACATTGTGAATTGTCCTTGACCGTCCATGGCCTTGCATTTATTTTGTATGCATCTTTTAGGTGCTGTCTTCTGGTATTTTTGGCATAAAGCCTCCCAGAACTGAATGTTGTCTGCCCTGCTTGCTGCTTACGTATAGCCCAAACTCTTGTATAATGCGAAGAGGAAGATGCAGCCTGCTTAGCTTAGCTCTTTCCTTCTGCAGAGGCTCCAGGCTAGCTAGGAGAACATAAGCCTTTCTGCATAATTCCTGTAATACTTACTTGCTCTGGATATCCTCAGCTGTCTTCTCTTCCTCTTGAAGTATTATTTCAGAGTGTATGCGGAGACTTAATTCCCCTTTATGCAATTTCTTTACAAGTACTACTTATGTTCTTTGTTTTTCTGGCTACTATAGATGCTTAATATCTTATCCTGTTCTGTAGGACTGGATTTCTTTCTTTCTTTTTTTTTTTTTCAAGCTTCAAAACTGTGGAAAGATAGGGTATCTGTGTTTGCTATGACAGGTGGGTCTACAAGATGCTTGGCTACCTCAAGCAGCTGCCATTACTTTCTCACTTGAGTGCTGTTCTGTTAGAGCTCCCAACTTGCTCTTCACTCTGATCTCTAGATTTCATGCTAGGCTGAAAATAAGTTCACATGCTCAACCATCTTGAAAGCTTGCTACATGAAGATCTGGCTTCAGCTGGAGAGGAAGACAGCTAAAATGGAAATAAGTGGATATGTAGCATCTCATATTAAGGAGAGGGGCTTGCTGAATTTCAGTTTGGTGGTTGTGGCACCAGAACAAGCCAGAGGTGGAGGCTCTCAAACACTGATCCTTTGCTCTGCTGCGGACCGCCCGTGGGAATGAGTGTAACTGCATCTTCATTGCCTTTTGCTAGACAAGTCTCTAGGTGCATTTATCTAACTTGGGATGTGCTAATGGATTTTTACAATTTCCCCTCTTCCCCAGCCCATTCTGTGCTGTAGCCTTTGAGAAGACTGCACCTAGTTTTTAATCTTGGGGAGGTTACAAAATAGGAGCAGAGTCACATGACTGGTAAATGGATATTAAGTATGTGATGTCTGAATCACCTGTTATTTGGCATCCTGTAAGGCAGCTCAAGAGGAAAATGCATCTGTTGTGCAGGAAGCCTGCTGCTGTGACACCTTTGTGGATTTATTTTGATATATCGTGTTCTTGCGACTTCTGAAGATACTCTTCCATCCTTCTCGTTCCTTTCTGGAGCTGGTTTGTGTCCTCTTGATGGCAAGGAAAGATAGTGTTAAATACTGAACACCTTTTTAGCATTGGCAGAAGAGGATTTCATCTGCTTATGAGGTACTGCATGTGTTTTCCAGTGGGATTAAAAGGATGCTGTGAGAAGTGGCTGTGTTTTGGATTAGAATGAACTTCAAACTGCAGTTCAAAATAATGCTTACTTTAACTTTCAGAGCAATTTTATGTAGGTCACTCTGATGGATGTTTAAAGGTAAGCCAGTAGAGTTCTTAGAAATCCATGGTGATCTCCAGTTTATCTTGTACTGCACAACTTATATATATATTTAGCTTCGTGTTTTTTGATGTGAAATGGAAATGTAATGCTAACTCATTGTAATACTGAAAGAAAGCTTAGCACCAGACAGTATACATGCATACTTGTAGGATACTGTACTACTCATTCACTGTTTGCTTTTGTTCTCTAAGTTTGATATTTTGTACTTGTGTTATTTCAGTGGTTTGTTCTAAGAGATGTTGTGTAGTTCTCTAAAACAACTCATGTCTTTCTGTTCTGATGTTAAATGTCTTGACTTCCCATGCTTCTCCTTCCAGGCTGAGTTCCCTAAGTGTTCCACTGAAATAAACAAATGTCTCATTAGGAAAGGAATTTTTTACTTAAGAAAAAAGAAAGCAACATGCATTACACAAATAAAATTATTTATGCTGTAATTGTGCCTATCAGCTGGCTGCACTCAATTCACAGCTGCTGTGGCTTTGCTGCACAATGCATAAAAACTCCTTCAGTCGTATTGAATGCTGTTGACATGTGAGCTTTACTAGAAGTGCCACTCAGGTGGCAGCTTGACCTTTTCTACTTTGTTGGTAGAATACCATATCTGTTTTCTCTCTTCCTAAATTTTAGGAGAGCTCATACCCTGACAGTTCTGTTCATTCTCACCTGTGCGCTGGGATACGTAACCTTACTTGAAGAAACACCTCAAGATACAGCCTACAATACAAAGAGGTAAATATTTGAGCAAGTATTTCTGTATGGTGTCTGTTAGCAGAGGGTCTCTGTGAGCAAGTTGCCTTACATACTTGCATCTCCTGGGTAAGCTAGCTGAAAATGATCTTTATTAACTTGTTTGTATGGCTCAAATCCCAAACCCTGCTTTTTTTTTTTCATTCTCTACAGTGACTCAGGATATAGTATTCATTGTCACAGAGATGCAGGAATTAGGGTATTTCCTGAGATAGCTGTGGTTGTTATTCTATTGGTTACACAATAGATGTAGTCAATGTTATTCACACTCACTGATGTGCTGAGCTGAATGTTGGTATTTTTATGTGTGGGGTGAGATGGAACAAGTTGGAACGCAGTGGCCTGGCTGGATCTGCAAGGCTTTCGTGTGAGCAAATGCCACTCTACTCCCAGTTACAACAATGCCTGGATTTAGGGAACGAGTAGGGGTGGGACGTTCTCTGGAATGCCAGTTCAACATTAAGAAGTGGAAAAAATAAAAGGTGATGACGTGGTGTTATGGGATAAAACGGATAGAAGGTGACTCAGTGGAATATCTTATTATTGAGATTAGAGTGGCTTTAATAAAAACAAGACCGAAGAAGATTAATCACCAGATAACCTTTCTTTCATGAAATGGAAGTTGCTTTCTGCAAGTTCATTAGGGAATAATATTTGCGGTTGTTAAATTCAATTTAACATTATCATATCAAGCAATAAGTAGTGAATGTTTTTGATCACTTCTACATCTCTGCTTGTAGAATACTTACTGCCTGCTACACCTAGCTGTAAAAATACTTGAAAATCAGCATCTGGGGATTATATTAGATCTTCAGAATATTGTTTTATTATTTTTGAAGGATACTTCAGCTTCCATTCAGACTTCATCCTTATGCTGTTGTAGTCATTCTAGCTAGATGCTAAATTCTGAGGTGGCCAAAGCATTGCTTTATCCAAAGTTAAAATTGAATACAGAATTAACGTGAGTCCAGTAGCCTTTCCAAAGCTTTATGTGTGTTGCCTTGGACTTGATTTACAAGAAGGAAAGAAGTGTCATATTGTGTTAATTTTCCATGAACTCTTTTCTGGTCTCAGTGATCTCTTTTCTAAGGCCTTTGAGGCGAGTGCTTTGCCAAGTTTAGAACAACTAAACATGAAAGATTGCAGCTCAACGCACATTCCAGCTAGGGAAACAAGCTGTGTGCATTCTTTAGCAGCTGTGTGCTTGCTGCTCTCTTGTATTTTGTCATTGCTGAGCAGTTTTATGTGGCATATTTGAACAAAGAGAAGCATTTCTAAGCAGGAGCAAGATGGTCACGATATGTGTAAGTGTAACTGTATCCTCCATTCTCACAGATTTTTTTTTTTTGCCTTCATAGCTTAAAATACTTTATCTAATTATGATAACTTTTTTTGGTCTTTATATAGAGCTGCTACATGTTTTAGATCTAAATTGTTGGCCTGTGTGAAGTTGTCACTTTGCAAATATCCCATGGCAACTCTTGCTTACTTAATGAATAGCAGTAATCTTATTACCAGTGAGCAGTGTCTCTAGCTGTCATGCTTTTTTATTTCCAACTACTGAACAATGACAGTGGAGCAGTGTTTTGGTCCTTAGGTGCAAAGTCTTAAGTATGTGTTTGCAGACACTTAAATCTCCTTGGTTTCAAACCCTTGCTGAGAGATGCCAGACTGCTGGTGATCTGCGTTAGAGGCTTAGAGCAAAACATGAAATTGAAGCAAAATAAACAAATTGCAATACTATCTCTTGTCTCAGTATTTACTGAGTAAAGCGAAGTCAAGCAAGGGTCCCATCTTCTCTCCTATGAAAGTCTCTTAGAGAAGCAGTTGAGGGCAGGGTGAGCACCTGGATTCTTGCAGTGAGTCACCAGGAGAAATGATGCACAAAATACACTGTACAATGTGACCCTATGAAATAACAGGGTGTGGTATCTATAGCTGAGATTCATACTTGCATCTGTTTTTATGGGACATTTGAGTCCCATTTTCTGTCCTGCAGAGTGGTAGGGCAGTTAAAGGAAGAATTTTTTATATTTTGTAAGATAGGGCAGATAGAAGTATTTACATATAAACCTAATCAAAGTTCACACAAAGATATCTATATGATCATGTGATATGTGTGTTCAGACTGTTACAAAGAGAGTTGAACACTTACTTCATTAGCCAAAAAGAAATTGCGTTGGAAAACCTGTTTGATAGATGAGACTTTTTATTCACATTGTTCCTGCAGCACTGAGAGTGGCCTTGAAGTAGTCCATGCCATCTGACAAATGTCAGCTACCCAGAAGAGTTAACAGGACTGTGCTCCAGCTCTGAGGATAGCTAAGTCAATACTCGGCAACCTCCTTTGTGTGCCATGGCTGTGGAAGAAATTCATATCTCTTGGGTGCATTAAATGCTGAGCAAGAGATCTTTTTTTTTGGGAGGGGGTTGGGGGAGGAAGTAAATATATTCAGGTTTAATAAGTCCTATGTGCATTGAGACTTCATATTGAATTTCATGCTGGATTTTCAGTTTCTTTTCCAGGATGCCTCTCTGTAGTAGTTTTTTTGCAATAGCTGATCTCTGTTCAGCCACATGAATAAAGCTAGGTGCTCGTGTGTTTGTGAGTTGATGATATTCAATTCCTGTTGCTGAACACCTAAAAAAAAAGTAACAAAGTAACAAAGAGGCTAGGTCTATATCTGTTGCACTGCCAGTTCTTCAGCTCTTGATAGCACTGTGGGCCTTGTACCACTTCTGCTCATGTAGGGAGAGGGCAGGGAGTGGGAGCTGTCTGGTTCAAAGCCTAGAACAAGGGATACGCAAATCTTTGTAGAAAGGCTTGATTGTCTCGTGTCTCTGAATCAACTCTTCTAAAATAACAGAAACAATACCCTGTTTGTTCTAACAAAACTGTTGCCGTGTTCTCTTTCTTGGTTAAGTGCTAAAATTATTTTTGTCAGCGCTACTATTTAGTGTCTTCCTGATCTGCTGCTCAAAGAAATATATAAGCTGTGTCCCTCCATGCTACCTGCACAGGTAGTCTGAGGTAAACCCTGTACCCCTCTCAAATCCTGGAGAAGTTCTTACATCAAACCACGCTGAACCAGCTGGCCAAACTGCTGCTTATATTTTGAAGCTTCCTGGAGAGGCAGTATGTTGATATGAGGGGAAGAAATTTAGTCACTGGAGGAGGAAGGATAACAGAGTTGGTATGGTTGTTACACAGATCTGACATTTTCTTCCAGATTTCCCAAGGTGAACTTGAAGTTAGAAAATATATTTCTGACATGACAGTTGAATTCCGCACTGCTGCTGTGTCTGCTGTTTGGCTGAAGGTGGATTTTAGAGAAAAGAACAGAGCTGTGAGTTCTTGTGGTGATTTGCATACAGATCAGCTCTAGCTTTGGGAAAAACTCTCTCACAAGAACTTAAAATGCTGCTCTTGGACGCTTTGGTTCATGACTGAGCTTTGTAGTGAGCAAAGTGGTGTGTATTGTTTTGTGATGCGGAATGCAATCTCTTAAGCGTACATGCAGATTTGTAGTCCTGTTATTTCCAAATACAGAGTAGTGAATCAAAATGCAGACTATCCTTGTTTTCTGAGAACAGCTGAAAAGATTTCTTTGTCTGATTCATTTTGGAAAAGCATGATGAAACTCTCTCTTTTACTGTTTAATTCAGTAGCTGATTCTGTTGTGTTTTCCAGTCTCATAAGGCAAGCAGAGTAACAGTTACATCTGTTAAGTAAAAGCCATTTTTATTTTCAGGAAGCATAGCCTTTTTATACTCAGAGGCAGATGTCAGAAAGCAGTTTTTGTAAATGATTGTGTCTTCTGTTTTGAAAGGAGTTCTTAGCAGGTAATGTGGAAAACACAATAACTCTATTAGTTGAAGTTTTGGGGGAAAAAAAAAGGCATTTTGGAATTGTATTATTACCATTTAATCCATTAAGAGTGGTGGAAGGAAAAGGTTCTTCACCAGAGAGTGGTCAGGTCTGGAACAGGCTCCCAAGGACAGCAGTCAGGGTCCCAAGTGTTGGAGCTCAGGGAGCTCTCAGATATGGGACTGGCATTTGGGGTGCTCCTGTGTGGAGCTGGAGTTTGTACTTGATACCCGGGGTCCATTCCAACTTTGTATATCTATGATTCTATTATTCAGACATCAGTGTTTGCATTTGCTTATCTTCCTTTAACATGCAAAGCAATACATTATTTAAAAATGTACTACATACAGTTAGCAGAATTTAAATCTTTAGATGTTGCTTAAGTGATTTATTTATTTATTTTTAATCAGTAAGGATCTCTTCTTGGAGCCATGGGGCTACTTTAAGTTTCCAGTTCCACCACAACTTAAACTTGCAGTTTAGCCTCACATGCCGCCAACAGGACTGTGGCTGTTCTCCCTTAGATCTTATGCTGTTGATGGTGGCAGAAAACAGTGCATACTAGGCCTTAGGGTTCTGGGATAAGTTTGTGGATCTTGGGTATACTTGGTATATGGTCTGGTGATGTTTTATTGCTGGGTGAGTTTTTAGTGAGATAGGGCTCCTGGATTGGCTGGCAGGATGGTAGTATGCAGATGGAAGCATGCAATCAGCAGGGAGAAAGGGAGAAGGGCAGATGAGTGGACTTTCAGATTTGAGGCTGTCAGTTGTGAAACCACAGTTGAAATGTAGGGACTTACTGCTATTTCTGTATTTGTACCTGTTGCTTGTAGGCAGTTGGACTTGATGATCTTCATATGTCTTTTCCAACTGAACTATTCTATATTATTTTCCTGAAACATAATCCCCAAGAAGGGTCAATTTATGACTGACAAGTTAGGAAACAAAGACCAGGCGGTTTGACATCAAAGAATATGATTTACATCTCTATTAGTAAGATGCTGCAATATAAACAGTTTGTTTTTTTTACTTGCAGAGGTATTGTTGCCAGTATTTTGGTTTTCCTGTGTTTTGGAGTTACACAGGCTAAAGATGGACCATTTTCAAGACCTCATCCAGGTATTTTAAGCCACTTAAATTACTCAGATATTTCTGTTATGTTCTGCTGAGTGTAAATATTTGTGTTACGTGTGGAGGAGGTAAGTCATAATTTAAATAATATAGGTTCAGTAACACTACGCAGTTATCATGTAGCTTCCCGGCTTCCACCCAGCCTCTTACAATGCTGAGGTATTATTCCAAGCAGCATGATGATTCTTTGGTTCACTATCCACAGTAGTTATACTTCTGAAGTTTTCCAGTAAGGCTTTAAGTCCTGAAATGTTTGAAACCATAACAGGACGCCTTTCTCTGCTTCCCTGTCATAGCTTTCAGTTTGAGAAGATCTGAGTGATTTTGTCTGGAACAGAAGGCACTTTTTATTCTCTAGAATTGAACAAGTGGGTTTCTGGAAGTCCAGAGGCTGGAGATGTATACAGCAGACTGCTCTGATGCATGATGGTGGTATACAAAGGTGGTAGACAGCAGTTATTCTCTTTATCTTTCAGCAGAATTAAATTGTTCATGTATTTCATTGCTTTATGTTCCAAGTTTATTAATGTTGATTTTTTTTTTTTATTGATTGACCCTTTCTCTAGGTGGTTAGATGTGAGGATCTTCTGAAGGGCATTTTTTGGGGACTACTGTTCACTAGGATAGCAGATGCTTCCACAGTCACAGTATGACACCCGAGTACCTTTTTAAATGTGAACAGCAGCCTTGCATGCAGTAGAGGGCATGAAGTTTGTTGCAGCCTCTTGGGATGTGGTGTCAGCTCTGTAGTTACCTAGAGCTGTGGAGGATGTCTTGGGAAGTACCCATGGTGCAATCAAGTCTCTGACCTTAGCTTTGTATGCTGTTCGTAAAGGAAGATCTCATCTCAAAGGAACTGGCAGCTCTAGCTGCTGCTGTGCACAGCTTCCATTTATAGGACAGAAGGAAGCATTTGGGTCACAGTCAGGTCACTACAGTCACATACAGCAACACTGGATCTGTTACATGAACTCTCAGAGCTGGGTATTAGCTAGGTTTCGTGGTAGCTAGGTTATTTCACGTGATTTTGGAGGCCTATTATTTGATGTGTCTGTACCTGTTTATGATTAGCTCAGAGGTATTTTATACTTTGGATTTTGTGCCTGTATTGCTTTTTGAATTAAATAGCTTTTCATGATGTTTATCCACTTGATTTATATATACCTAGTTCATCCCATCTCACCATTGACGTTGCTAAAGCAAATGGATTTTCCCTTCAGTCTCCCCCTCATCATAAGCTGGTTTACCCCGCAACATTTAGTAGTCCTCTGTGTGTGTGTGTTTTGAGTTTTCTTCTTTGAAAGTAGCTATCCAGACCTGCGTATGATACTGCAAGTATGATAGTACTTAAGTTTTTTGTGACAGTTTTAATGCTTCCCAGTATCTCTCTGGTAGTACATTGATGGAAGTCTTTATATTACTTGTGCTTTCTTTGTAGTTGTAATACAGCAGCAGCTCGGTGTCTGACAGATAATACCAAATCCTTCCATTTCTCCAACTGATAAGCTAACATACACAAAAACTTCCTAGTTCCTGAATGTGAAATTGTATTCTGAGCTCCTCTTTTACTCCAGTCCTTTGAGGTTGTCTACTTTGAGGTCATCTGATTTTTCTTGTTGCTGTCCCTACCTTCCCTGCTGCTGCTGTTTATGTGCTTAGTGTTGTTAATCTTCTTTCTACTCAAATCATTAAGGAAACTGATCTTAGCTGCTGTGTGTTATCCTTGTAGACTGGCTTTTTTCCCCCTTCTTTTCAGTATTGTTGGCTATTTCAGTTTTAGCCATTTGCTTATTCTGCTTTGCCTTTTTTCTACTGAGCCCCATTTTCTCTAGCTAATAATTTGCCATATGGACCCATCCCAGTTGTCCTAATGTAATTCAGAAATGTAGGGTTATCATGCAAAGAAATGGATGTGGTTCCTTAGAGAAGACTTCTTTTCTTTTTCTAATGTGGCTTTTCTGCTCTTTGTTCCATTTTCTTTCTTTAAATTATTAGCTTCATTTGTTTTGCAGAGCGCAGCCTCTGGCACGCTCAGCAAGAGGCAAACAGCATCGAAGCCATCTAGCAAAAGATGAATATACTCTTTTCCCCAAGGAAAAATATGTCACAGGGGGCAGATCCTAGACTCTGCCTGCAGATCCATTTGCTGGTGGGTGAACACCTAAGTTTGGAGTGTCATGTGTTTCATGCTAAAATTAATCATGGATATAGGTCATCGGTATGCAAATAGAAGATTTTCTTGATTCTTGTTGTCGGCTCTGCTTACAGAGCCTTGAGCGTGCAAACAGTGTAGTGTTGCAGGAGGCCAGCAATGCTTTATTGTCTTTGGCAAGATAACATGCCCACGTTGTAATTTTAATAAAATTTTCCTTGAGAATTATTGATGCCTCTGGTAAAATAAATAAAAATAATAAAAAAATATATTCTAATATTCCCAACCTTTGCTCACAGTTATTTTGATGCAATATGCTATTATTGCCAACATAAGCAGTTGGGAGAGTAAATTGTGATATTCTACACTAGTCCATAGCCTACAGGGCTGAAGTAGCCAGAGACGAGCAGGCAAAAACTGTATCACTCCTGTACCTGTCCCAGGGCAGAAAGCATGGGCTAAGCTCAGGCTGCTTGTGAAATCAGCGGAGCAGCTGGTTGCTTTGTGATTCTGTGAAGTCCTTCCACTAGGAAATAATACATGATTTGCCTCTTTCCGTCATCTCCTATAACAGTTCAAGAATCTGTGTGATTGTTCCTGTTTGTACATAAATTTATTAGACTCTTGGGTTATCGATACTGACTGCTTTTTCACTGACTAGATGAAATAAATTTCTTTGTGTATTGGAAGCTGGACAAGCTGAGCTTCTAACTCATTTTTCTATCTTAACATAGCCAGTTAATGTTTTGAGGTATTACATTTAGAAATGAAATACTTCATAGGCTGAGCTGAGACTGCTTTGAAGGCTCGCCTTCCCCCTGCTGCACCCTCAGTTCTCCTACCTTCTCATCAACTGCTCTCTCAAGTCACAGGTGGTGCTTCTGAACCTGAGCTTGCTATGGAAAACCTGGTAAGAAGTAACTTGAGCAAGCATGTGGCTGGATCAGGCTCATGTGGCTTCTTAGAACAGACAATTCTCCCTGCTCATGTCCTATGCAAGTTTGGATTAGCACTTAGAAAGTGTTTCTATCCACTAAATGGCTGTAAATGCCTTGCTTAAGCAAAATACTTCAGAATTTATATATATTTTTTTAATCCTTAGCCTTTCAGGTTGCATAGGTCAAATATAAACCTGTATTATAGGGGTAAATGGCTGGTTTTGCACTCAGCCAGGCAGCCTGATGTTCATCTTCTGTTGCCAAGTCCTCCCCAGGATAAGAACTGTTTGAGCATAGCAATCACTGAGCTCTCAGGCATGTAAATGATTAGTTGAGGCCTATTAAATCAGGCAGATAGCCCTAATTTGAGGGTAGTGACAAGTGTATTTAAGGAGAACAAGTAATAAGGGTATGCCAAAAATAACCTTATAGCTAGAGCTGAGGCTGGTCCAGGAAGAGAGAGAACACAGTGTTTGTACTGCTTTGAAAACATCTTGTTTCTGTTGTACAGATATAAAGTAGTCTTCAAAACCTCTTGGGTACTTATGTCTGCTGGGGAGAAGGTACACTAAATTGCAACTGGATCTTAATTTTTTATTAAGCATTTTGCTTTAGTAAATGTTGCTGAGTGTATTCAGCAGCTGCAGGTCATTTGTTGCCATAACTTTAGGTATATAGGAGAAGTTGTTATAGACTTCAATTTTTAATCTGTCTGAACTGCATGTACATCTGTTTCAGAACTAGTCTGCTACTTTTCTGTCTGTAGGTAGTGTAAAATCTGTCATACAAGGCTTTGGTTAGGAAAAAAGCCCTGCATTAAGGCTGCCAGTCTGGAGGTGTAGTATAAAGGAAATGAGTCTGGTTGGAGAAGTGGAAATGAGGTTGATTCTTTGTTCTGACTGGAACACAGTGTTTACTATTCAAGGTATGCAGTCAAGTCATTATGAGAGAGGTGGAAAATGTTATCAAACACAATGACTTTTTTTTCTTTTTAAGTCCTATAGCTTTGCTTGCAAAGACTTTAAGTATTTTTGAGCAGTACAGTGGTGCCTGTGAAGTTTCTCTCTTCCCAATCTATCTTTGACCAATGGAGATTTTTTTGTTGGTTCTTTTAACTTAATGACACCTAAGAAAACACTTCATCCTACTCTGTAATTAAAATGACAGTTATGTTTGCTAACTATAGTAAAACTCCTAGAAGTTCAGAGATTGTTGTTAAATCAGTTGTGGAGTGCAGAACTTCCTGATATTTGGGCACACTTGCATTTTTTTCTCTGAAGGTGTGGACTGTCTTATTAAATTAATTCAGCAGTTTTGCTGAAGAAAAGCAATCTTCTCTCACCTTCTTACACTTTAATCTGTTTTAATGATTGTGTCATTGGCAGGCTGTCAGATAAGAGGTTTCTTTTAAAAAAATGTGGATTTTAAAAAATTTTTTGCTACTTGAGATTGCATGGGGCAGAGATGACACGTTTTTGTTTTGGGGCAAACAAGCATACAAGAAGTTCTGCAAAACCATGGCTAGATGACTTTAGGTTTTGGCTGATAAATAATATGTTTGCAAGTCAGGAGTTAATTTTAAGTTCTTGCATTCTTTGGGTCACAGTTCTGACTATAGAGCATTGGCATACTGAAGTTCCCTTGAAATTAGTAGGTAATTACCCAGATCACCCCTTAGGTTCTTGTTTTTTTTCATCTTTTTCATTTCATGGCAAACCATAAACATGGAGGTGGAATAACTTGCTGTTTCCACTAAAGCATATGAATATCTTGGTTCTTCTTTGCCCCAGCCCAAATCTAACCATCGCCTAGGTGTTGCCATGGAAGGAGAGCTCTGTTTTGTAAGTGTAAACAGGAAACACCTGAAGGAATGTCTATTAAAATAATTCCAAAGTGATTAGTACATGCTGTTACTGTGAGATTTAAATAACCACTTGGAATGAGATGAGCTTTGATAAATTACTTTGTGTTTTTGGATGTGATTTGGAGAAAATGCTGAGAGCTCTCTGTGCATGCTGGCTCTGCATTAGCCTGTTTCCTTCCTTAGAGGAACAGAGAAATGTGACTGTATGGAATGGAGGACAAACCAGTCTCTGGATGGAGTAGGAGGAATTATAGGCATGAATGCAGCCCATGCTCTACAAAACTCTTGTCCTAGATAGTTTGAGGGCCTATTGCCAGAGGACCAAGTCTCACCAAAGAATTGTTCCGATAGGGATAGAGCTGAAGATATACAAATACTTTGTGTGCCACTTAGACTGAAGCAACACCTCAATCTGAAATAACAGATTGCAAGATGATGAGAAGTGACTGTGGGTTCTGAAACACCTGAGTTTTGCCTGATGTTTCTTAGTATGAAGACTGTCAGAAGATCTCATAAGTCTTGCATCTAGCACATGAGAAAACTTCTGTGTGTATTTTCTGAATAGAATTCATAGAAAAGGTGAAAATATATTTGGTATTTTTATGCTTCTTGCTCCTCAAAGAAAGGAATGTTATCTTCAGGGATAAGCAGAGATCTTCCTGCTGGTATTAGTTCCATCCTGTTTAGCAACACATAGGTGGAAGTTTATGGAACTGTCTAGCCGTGATAGAGCTGGAAAAAACAAAGTTGGGCAGATCAGGTTATGTGACATGGTAGAGGAAGAAATAAGATTCATTCTAGAAAGACACAATTATTTTCCAAGGACTGCTGGAAATCATTGTAAGTGGCCAATATTTTTCCTTCTAATTCTTAAATATTTAGTTCATTGGATTGAAGTATTTTCATGGATTCTGACTGTTGCTTGAGCAATTCTGGCAGATTTACATAGCAGCTCGTGTGGTAGTTAAAAAAGCGTTTCTGGCTGTATTTTTTAGGAAGGATGGTGAGTATTTCACTTTGGATACTGCGTTTTATAGTTTCTTCATGGGAGCATCTTTTCTTGAAACGTTTTGTAAAGTTACGGCAGATGCATAATTGACTGCTGTTCTGCTTGAAGCCTCTGTTAACGTCCTGTTTGTCTGTTTCTGTAGCTTATTGGCGGTTTTGGCTGTGTGTCAGCGTTGTATATGAGCTCTTCCTCATCTTCATACTCTTCCAGGTGAGTAACTTAAGCTGATGTTGAGTAACTAGACTACCAACATAGGTATGAAATCCTTTGTGCTGTTTTTTAAAGGATTCTTACCTACTGCAGGAGGTGCTGCTCTTCGTTTTTTGTGATATCAAATCATTGCTTTACTTAATGAGACTTCTGGATTGAGAAAAATTTTATAGTATTACCAAGGTATTTCACCCTATTGTCTGTCTTAACTTCCAGTTAACCTCAGCCCAAATTAGACGCCATAGTGAAGCAATTTTACATGAATTGATAATGTCAAGTTTAAGTGCTGGGGAAGAGCTCTGGATTTTGAAGGAGACTCCTCATCTGTGCAATGCAATTAATGTAGTCATCTCCTCAGGCAACAGCATGACCTGAAACCAAAAGCAAATGGAGGTATTTAACAGTGAGAGAGAAACACTCTGTTCTGTCAGACTTGGGCTCCTTTTTAGGAGTAGGTAGGTGAGTCCCCAGTGGTGGCTCTTCAAATTGTGCCTTCTCACTGACATCCTAATTGCATTTGGTACTCTGTATTTTAAAAGGGTGGTATAAGTAACCATTGCAGACTCATCAGGTAGCATTAAAATTATCATTTTAGATGAATAGTTGAGGAACCTTTAAAAGTAAAATTGAAAAATGTTTTACCCCCAGAAACCAAGTGGAATTGAAGGAGCAGGACTAGAATTCAGAAGTGTCAGGATCTGCGTCGTCTTTTTTCCTGTTGGAGCAGGACATTTCCTTTGCAAACAAGTTTTTAGTGCTGATCAAACCCTTTCCAGCTAATCAAAGATTTCCTTTGTCTCCAGCGTTTCTTGTTCTTCTTGACCTTTCCTGGAGGCTTCCCAGTAGTCAGTGCCAGGTTCTCTTAAGAGCAAATAATTTTTCTTTTTAATTTGCCTGGCTTGTTGGTTCAGTGGTCAGCTGGAAAGTGTCTGCAGTCATTCAGTAAAGAACAAGATGTTTTTTCTTCCTGTTGACATAACTTGGGGGTTCAGTGTAAACCCTTGCACGGGACCCTAATATCTCATTAGGGTTTCTTTCAGGCTGCCTGTCGTGTTTGGAGGGAGTGGAGTTCTGACCCTTTCACAGGCATGAACAGGTCTGTCTTGCCTTTTTTGTTGTTATTCCTCATTGCTGAGGAATATTTAGTCAGTTCCACTTTATTCTTATATTCTTCCTGTTTCATGTCACCCTCTGTTTTTTTTCCAGGCATGCTTGTGAACAATACTCATGACTAGCTGCAGCCAAGCCGAATAATATAATGCATTTTTATTTGCTGGTGCCATTGTAGTTTTGAATTCTCATAGAAAAGCCTGGAATTGCTTTGCTTTTCCCCCAGTGGCATGTTGTATTGCCAACCATTGAGTTGTTAAGGACACTCACTAGCTGTTGCATAGTTCCTCACTGAAAATACACTGTTAGTTACTTCACACAGGTTTAAAGAAGGTTGAAATTATGCTTAGCCTGTAAGTGACTAAGTGTCTCTGAAAGTAAATATAAGCTCACTCATTGTTGTAACTTGTCTTCTACTTAATCTGACCAAAGTGGTTTTATTCTAGAACTTTATTATTTCTTATAAGTAATTCTGACGTTGTTCATCTTTTCATGACTGCTAACTAAACCCTGTCTATCATTGATGTTGCATTGCTTCAGCTGTAAAACACTGATCACAAAACAGATCGGTTTCATTGGGAAATGCTTTTTCAGCAAATGCGTATGTGAGCGACCAATAAATTAGTGCAAGCCTTGGTCACCTTCTGTAACTAATATTCGGGTATTTTTTCTTTTGCTATTTAAGTTTATTACCTGTGCTGCTAGTGAGATGTTATTAAAAATGTGTTTATTCAACAGGCTGTAATAATTATTTTTTTTCAGCCGCAAAATGCAGTGCCATTCTCAGCTTTCTGTAGCTGAAGTGAGCTGAGCACAGATGCGGGACAAATCCTGCTAACAGTGCATGTAGTCTGTGTGCTCAATCTGCTGATGTTCGCACGTGATGTATTTTGTTAAAGCTGCATGCTGCTGGATTTTTCTCATTCTATGAAACCAGAATGTCACAAATGCAGCAGGTAGAAGCCATTACATGTGAACACTTCCTCATTTTCTTATTGGCAGCTTATTGTTTACCCTCACCAATGGAGGAAGTGGAGAAGTGTCAGTGAGAAGGATGAATTGTGTGTCAGTTCAAGCTTTTGGGAGAGAGGAGGCATAGAGGAATAGCATGGAAAACGGATTTAAATAATTCAGATTTTTCATCTTTCAGAAATGTGAAGTTCATTCTGTTATCTTGTCTCTAATATTTGGCATTGGAAGATTGGAAACTTAGATGTGTGTAATGCTTTGAGATCTGTATGTATTTTAAGAATTGTTTTGCAACGTGTCTAAAGAAAAAATGTCAATTTGAAAATAGGCTGATATAAATTTTATTCTTCCGTCCATCAATACATACTAAGAGGAAAACATGGTTTTTGTGCTCCTTCTGCAGACTGTACAAGATGGCAGACAGTTTATGAAGTACATTGATCCACATTTAGGTGTTCCTTTGCCAGAAAGAGACTATGGTGGCAACTGCCTTATTTATGATCCTGGCAATGAAAGTGATCCATTTCACAACATCTGGGTAAGAAACAAATAGGTATTTGGTAGTGAGTCTGAGTGGTTTTATTTTAATTTTGGGGGTAAAATGTTGCTTAATTGAACACTTGAAAGTCATGAGTCTTCCTGAGCGCTGAATCAGAAAACAGGTCAAGACTGACTAACTTCCTTTATTCCTTCTTGGCCTTTCTTGACAAGCGGGTGGAGATGTCTCTTTGTATTCTAATTACGTTGCCTGAGGAAGGGGTAAACTTTAACAATCCTTATTTCTCAGCTTATTGATGGAAATGCCTTGCCACTATGAGTCTGGATTTAATTTTGTGCATATGGAATTACCTGCTTCCTTGAGACACAGAGTTCAAAAGTTGCATGTTACGAAGCAGCCTATGAGTTGCACTTTTCTGAATACCACAAACTGTCAGGAGGTTGGTGTTTTTTGCAGGCAACTATAAGAGACTATAAATTCAAGGACAAAGAAATTGAGATGACTCTCAACTCCATGACTGCATGAAATCTGTTTGTTAGCAATGAGCATTACTAAATCCTTTGGGTCTGCCGTACAAGTCTTCAATGCATCAAGAAATGCAATAACTGAGAGCCATAGTACTTGTCTTCCTCTAGTATTGCACCAGCAGTGGATGGAGGAGAGGCATTTGTTGCCCATGGATTTTTGTGGGCTGAACTTTTGTGGGTAAGATTTTAGAAGCTCTCCTGCATACAAGATGAGAGTATGGTGAAGAAATGTATGTTCTCACTTTATTATATCTCATTTGAACACTTCCTTCTTCCTTCCCCTTGGAAGGCAAGAAACATGACATTTTGCATAAAGAAGGTAGTTTCTACCTTATCAATAGTCTTAATTCCAGTTTCTGACCTTCAAGCTTCCTGACTTTGCTTTAAAGATAACTTACATGCTCACGGTGCTTAAGAACAAAGAAGCTCATAAAATGAGATTTATGTGGAACAACCAAGGTTTATTGCTGCTTTTTTTTTTTCCTGGAAAAAAGTAAGCTTCAGTAGTGGATAATTGTACTGCTAAGTGATGTTCACTCTTGTTTGTTTTAGGACAAACTGGATGGATTTGTTCCTGCTCACTTTTTTGGCTGGTACCTGAAGGTAAGGATGAGTTCTTCTATTACATTTCTGTTACAGTGCTCATCTTCCTTTTAAAGCTTGGCTGCTTCTCTTCTAGTGATATCTGTCTTCATGATCAATTATATTAGGCAGTCATCTGTGAACTAGACTAAGTGTTTGTATTACATGAAAGACTCTTAGGTCATCTTATTTGTCAGTGTTACATTGACAAGCTCCTTCCTTCACCATAACTCATTTTGAGGTGAGATCAATAGAAGTCAAATCTTTTACTTCTGTTGCAAGATAAACTCTTGAATAACCTTTGAATGTAGAATATGGCGATGAAGACTGTTCAGAAAAGGGAGTGAAAATTGTTTGTTATGTAAGCATAGACACGTGATAAATGTGTCTATAAATTGCTCTGTTTGTGCTTTTTTTCTTCCATAAGCAAAAGTTTAGTGCTAGACACCGGGAGACTTTGGATTTAGATCAGTATATCTATGGCTTACTCTCATTTAGTGTACAGTATCTTTGTCTCAGAGAATTATATTAGAAACTTAAATATCAAAATAACATTTCAGCCTGTATTGGTTTTTAAAGTTGTGTCATACTGAGAGCTAATGTCTAAATAGGCAGTGCATGGTAAAAAGCTGTGAGGGAGTAGTAGCACACTCCTGAGGAGCTGGTTGGGGAGAGAATTCAAGATACCAGTCTGCTCGTGAGCTGTGTTGGTCTGGAAGAATCCTAGCTTTGATTAAGGAGACTTGGAAGGACATTTCCAAGCAGAAATGCTCAAGGTGATAACTCCTTGTCAACCTGCAGTCTGATTTCAGTTGCTCAGCATGCACCACATTGCTTCTATGTTACTAAACCAGAGGGAAACTGGCAGCTACGTGTCTTATTTGATGGTTAACATTTTTTTTCTATAAAAAGCTGGAAGTTTGGTGTGTTGTCTTTGTAGAGATGAACATGTGGTTTTGTATTGTCCTTCTTTGTGGTTTTATTTTGCCTCTTACGCTATATCTCCAAGCACCTGAATAGCAGTAGTGAAAATGAATATGCTTATTTCATCAGAAATTGCTGTGGGCCTCATTTGCTTTTGCATTGTTCAGATCATGTTTTCGTGTTTCTCTTGTTTTGACAGTAGGCTAAGATAATGCATACATTCTAGCACTGCTGTTCTGCTGAATCTTAAGGTTGGATGTGGGACAGGTTGCTCTTCCTTGCTCAATCTAATGCACTAGTTGTTACAAAGCATCCCCAAGTGTCCTGGCACAATCAGGGTTGAGGTATAGTACAGGTGACTCCTTCATAGTTTGCATTAAGCAGGCTTTGAAAAGCTTTTATTTGGAGCAATATTATAATGGTACTACTGTGGTGGTCAAGCACCTACTAATTTCATTCACTTAATGTAATTTCTTTCCCAATTAATTTCCATCTGCCGCCTTTATTCTTTCATGCATAGGTTTTAATATAATCTCTGATTGTCAGAATCTTTCCCCGCTGTTCAGAGGCTTGTAAAAATTAGGCCTTACTACATCATCACAGCATGAAAATAAGATTTTCATGAGCTTCCTGATCCTTTTCTGCTTACTATATACATGATATTCATTTGCAGAAGTAACTGGTAAGTAAATGCAACGTGTCCACTGTGTTTGAGGTTCAGAATTCTCGTATTCCTTAGATGATGAGTTTTGAAATAAGATAATTTGGCCATACCCTTTGGCAAAGCTGTAAATCTAAGAAGTATCTCTATACTATATGGAGTTTTTGATTTCTTAAGGATGTTAATGTAAGTGGTGTGTGGTACTGCTCTGTCCAGTGTGGAAACATTTTTGTAATTGCTTTCAGTATGTTGTGCAACTATTGTAGATCTTTGAAAGATTTTTCTCCCTTTTATAGACACTGATGATTCGAGACTGGTGGATGTGTATGATCATCAGTGTAATGTTTGAATTTCTGGAATACAGTCTGGAACACCAGCTTCCAAACTTCAGTGAATGTTGGTGGGATCACGTATGTACTGCATAAATCGTGATTTTTTTTTTTTTCCTAAACTGAGGTATATATTTTAAAGGGAGGAAGCAGGAAGTGGTGAGACCTAAATTATATTATATTCATTACCAAAAGCAGTGTTTAACACTGCAGCTTAGGGGCTTTGACTGTTCTCCATGTTGAACTTGTAATTTTGCAAGATTTCAGACTTCTCCATGGAATGGTAAAGTTACTCTTTGTGGTTTAGTATTTGTTTTGCTTCACTCCATACCAGCTAGAGACTCTAAGACAAACATTTTCAAATATTTGATGATGGTACAAACCATAAAATTGGAAATTAAGAGAAAGATAAACCTTAATGTTTATAGTTTCAGATAATTATTTTTCTTGTCTGTTAAGAAAACAGGCTCTGTACAGTTTATATCCAGCTCTTCCTTCTCTGCAAACCTGTCTTTACTGTTTTCTCTAAGCAGTAATTTACAGTGTTTAGAAGTCCTTGTATAACGTGTAAAAAAAGCTGTTTGAAAACACTAATGTTTGACCTTCCTGAAAAACTGCATGGTCTTTGCATTCAGAGTCCAGAATGGTTCATGTCATAAAACATTGCTTGTGAGTGTTTTTAAGCTCTATTGCTTAAAGTGGCATAGGTTTTTTTTCCCTTTATTTTTTCTTATTGAGGCTCATGTGAAATGTAAATTGGTTACTAAAGCAATCAAAATTCTCTGCATTCAGGGCCTGCAGCTCTGATTCTTACATTCTTAAGCTTGTACAGTTCTTTCTGAAGCTTGCAATGATTTGCTTCTTTGTAGTATTTATGAAAGTAAATACACATTGTATATATACTCCAAGCACAAGGTAGTTTGTCTTCAAAAAACTTCTAAGGAAGTTAACACTGTGCTCCTCTTCAAATAAAGAGGGCAGATTTTTTTTTATTTTTATTTTTATCAGCTCAGGGGCTCCATCTCCAGAATTAACGTTTGGCAAAAAGGCATAGCATGAGGAGAAATGACTTATTTCATATCCCAAGTTTAGAGATAAGTCACTTCTTTAGGAGGCAGCCTAAAGTTTAAGAAATATCTTACAAGTATTTTCAAATGCTTTTATGATGTGTTTCAAAAGTTATTATTTAACAATGTGGAGATGAACTGATAGTGAGTGGGAAGAAGTTTATTCTGTAGCAGAAGGAATGCTGCATCACTTATTTTTTCTGCTTTCAGTGGATAATGGATGTGATCTTATGTAATGGATTAGGAATTTACTGTGGGATGAAGACTCTTTCTTGGCTTTCTTTGAAAACATACAAATGGCAAGGACTTTGGAACATTCCTACATACAAGTAGGTTGGCATAGAAAGCAAGTCTGCAAGCAGTAGCAGTGTGCGAAGTTTGGGGTTCTGCATTAAGACCTTGATTATGAATAGGTTATTCTGTTAAAGTGAATAAAAGAATCTAATAAGTTGATACAGCATGGAAGCTTGTGAATGATGATGTTGTTTAACTTGCAAATGACATTATTAAAAATAAGCATGTTTGTCAAGAGCGTTGCCTGAAATCTAGGAATGAGGACATCTTGCGGGAATGAGATTATAAAATGAAATTGTAACTGAAGGAGCAAGAAACCAAATCAGGATCAGGCTCTTATTTATAGCAAGGATCTATTTGATCCTCATGCAAATAATGCATTCCTAGTAATTGTAACTTCATACTAATTGGACCACTTAAACTAATAACTGTGTAAAGCCCATATATTCTTCTGCCAGTTGTGAGTTATCTTTTTCTGTAGCGTGTTCTTGCTCAGCAAAGCAGAACAGAGGAACTGCTTCATACAGTGGATGCGATATATTAAAATTTAAAATGATAAGCACAATAGCAGGCTTTTCCTGGAAAGAAAACCAAGTAAAAATAATTTCAGTAAGCATTGTTCTTATGCAAAATATCTTATTTTACTGCATATGTGGATCAGTGTCAGAAATGGAAATGATGGTAGATGTCTCTAATCTGCCATTTCTTAAAATTCTAACAGTGTGTTCTGTCTTTCTTTCAGAGGTAAAATGAAGAGAATTGTCTTCCAGTTCACCCCATATAGCTGGGTCAAATTTGAGTGGAAGCCGGCATCCAGCTTACGGAGATGGCTAGCAGTTTGTGGCATTATCTTTGTAGTAAGGAAACTTCTCTGTCTTGTCTTCTCTGTGGTCTGGTTTAATACTTTGTAATCCTTGAGCAACTACAAAGGGTGACTTAGGCTGACGCTCTGGTGTGGTGATGTTTCTTTATTTGAGGCAAGAGGAGATCACTTCTGAATCCTGCAGAAAAGTTTCCACATCTCTAGTACCATCTAGATTCATTGCATAAATATTTTTTCTTGCTATGCAACACTGATTAGCAATATGAACAATTTAAACTGCAGTTTACACACTATTCAGTGAGTAACCTCCTACCAAAAACATTGGCTTTGGATGAAATGTTTTTTTTCCTCTCTGTGTTAAACAGATACAATACCATGTTACAACTGGAGATAAATGTGACCGAAGCCTCAGTCTGCTGTATGTTATCTGCACAGCATGCCTCCTGAAGTGTGCAGTTTTTTTTTACATTTTTATTCAGACTGTAATTTTAGTCTGATAACAGATAATACTGTTATTGTAAATTTTTTTTGTTTTACTGAACTCGTGGCAGTGCTAATGGTACCCAGCTTGACCAGTTTGTCTACATAAGGCAGTTTACCCAAAATAAAAGACTGGCATATCTGTCATTTACAATACTTTGACAGTCTGCCTCCTTGATTTAGCCATCTGTGGGCTATGCTGGGGAATGCATTGTCTTGAGTTCCTAACATCCACTTTATGATTGCAGGTATCATATAGATGGTATGGATGTGGGGGGTAAGCTTAGCATTTTAAAATGTTTTTCCTCCACTCTTGCCCCTTGTCACTTAGGGGCCTTTGGCCTCTGTGGTATCCATGAGATGTTGCATGACTCAGTTTTGAGCAACTTGGGTTTATTTCAATTCAGTGACTGTGAAATTTAACTTGAAGACAGAAACAAATAATAACCACAGAAAACTTTGATGCTTTTAGTGATTCCAGATACAGTGAGCATTCATTACAATAGGCTTTTGTATTAATACTGTGGTACTGGATATAACTGGTTTGTGTTTTTTAAAGAGTTAGCTAAAACAACCTACTTGATCATCTTGAAATATATCAAATATGAATTCTGGTGGTGGCTTATTTGAGTGTCTGTCTGTTGAGGTTCCTTGTTAAGATTTGCTGAGTGAGCCACATCAGTCAGCTTGTAAGCCACCACTGCCTTTCTTTCATCTCGCACTGTTGTCAGAATGCTGATCTGAGTGCTTCAGGAGCTGTATACTGTCTGTAACTAAGGAAGCAACATAAAGCAGTGCCTGCAGGAAGTGTTAGGCAGTTTGAAGACTTGGTCAGTTGAATGCAAGTTTAAATGACACATTTTGTGCTACATAAAACAAGTTCACATAATGCAACAGGCTTGCTGAGATTCCTGTAATATATGGAATATATGACATATATATGCCTGTATAGAAAGTACTTGTTTCCTTCAGTGATTCCTTTGTACATATCCAACTCTTTGCACTCTGAGGAAATAATGTTTTTAGATGCAGGAGTGTTCTGTAGCTGAGAGGTTCCCCTGAGTTTATACTAATCTTTTGGATGTTTCTTTTAGCAAAGCATAGCTTCAGCTGACTTCCAGTTTGTGGACAGCTTCATGTATTTGCATGTACTTCTCTATTAAGCAACACTTAATGTCTTTTATTATTGTTTATTTTGAAATGGGAAATTGTCTACTTGCTCACTTAAGCATATTTTGCTATTAACGTGTAACCAGAGCTCCAAAGTTGGCTTTGGCAGCAGTGTTGCCATAACTGTGTTTAACAGTGTGAAGCAAACATACAGAAACTGCTTATGGCTCTTGATTTGCTTTTTTTGTTTTGTTCCCTAAGTCAGATTTTAAATGATAGTGAAAGGACAAGTTTTTGCTTCTAGGGTTAGTTGCAAGTCGTTTTGGAGGTACTTCAAATTCCTGGTAAACTTGTTCAAATCTAGAGATAATGCTTGGCAGGGTTTCTGTTGCATCCTCTGCCCTGTGCAAGTGCATACATTTTACTACCTCTCCCTACACATTCAAAAAATAAAAATTAAAAAACAGCAACAACAAATCACTGTTGCTGCTGACGATGGTGGGCTCAGTGGTACCAAGTAAGATACTGTGGAGTTAGTGAAATAGTTGGGGAAGAGTGAGGCAGGGATAGAGGGAGATTCCAGGCTTCGTTCAGTGAAGTCTTCTGAATATAATTAAAATGTACTTTCTCTCAGTTTTTATTGGCAGAGCTGAACACATTTTACTTGAAGTTTGTCCTTTGGATGCCGCCAGAACACTACTTGGTCCTGTTACGGCTTGTCTTTTTTGTCAATGTGGGAGGTGTGGCTATGAGGGAGATCTACGACTTCATGGATGACCCGTAAGCCAGTCCTCTTGTGTATATACCGTGTCAATCTTCACTTGCTTTATTTTGAATTTGCACTTATTTGCTCCAGCTTGTTGGCATCCATCTCAGCTTGTTGGGAACAAAAAGATCCAACCTCACAGCATCTTCTTTGTTTTCTTTTGGTTTGGAGGTAAAGTTCTGACTGCATCTGGTTAGAGAAGAGCTGTTATTAAGGGCATTTCATGTGCACTGTTTTTAACATCTGCTTTTTATAAAATTATTGTTCTTTTGAGACAGTGATGTGTAAATTAGCTGGAGTGCCACTGGCTTGTGGGTGGAGGAGTACTGAACTCCATATTCAGGTTGATAGCCAGGAACTATAGTCCTTAGTAGTACCTTCTAAGGACAGCAGGGCCTAAACTCAGAATCTGTTTCTTAGAGTTGCTTCTTTTCTTGAGCTGTCTTCCAGCTTGTTCCTGGTCCCCTGGAGCTTTCATGGCACGCTCTTGCAGCATAGTAGACCTTTTAGCAAAGAATATTGCACCCATACACAACAGTGCATGTACTTTCAGACTGTTCCTACTTAAACATCATATTTGTCCTTGCTGCTTTTTTCTGCAGACCATAAAAGACCAGAGAATGCTTTGTTCTCAAAATCACATTTTCTTTTAAGTTTCAGTAGTAATGTCACAAATTGCCTGAGCCCATATCTTAAGTCTAAGACAACATCTGGCTTCAAGAAGTATTCATTATCTGTCACTGACCAACACAAAAAGTGTCTGTGTTCAGAATTTAGGGTTCCAACATTCTCTGAAGATCAGTTTCCATTACAAGGCTTTGACTCCTAGAACTGGAAAGAAGGGTCAACTCACATTGCTTAGGCGGATTTTGGGACATTCAGCAGTGGCAGGCTGCCCCCCTGCCTTTGGTGTTGGACCTACTGGTTTGGGACGTGCCTCCATCTCAAAGGTAAGAAGAAGTCTCTGCCTCTCATTGGTGAGCTCCTTTCCTTAGAAACACTCCCCCATCTTCTGGTCCTTGTGTTTGGGTTGGGAAAAAAACAGCTCCTTTGCCCTGTATTCGACCACATGGCATGGCATTGAAATATAGGAGAATCATCAGTCACCAATGCCTCGTTGCTGATTCAGTTTGTTGCCATTCTCTCAATGAGCTGGAGAAATTCATCAAGCAAGCAGAGACTCTCATCCTGAAGTGCATGTCTTCATCATTGCCACCACCAGTGTTCTGTTTCTCTTGATGGGTAAGATGATTAACTTCCTCTCTTCTGAGGTTCACGGCTCTGCTTGATGCACCACAGACCTGACCTCACCTGTTCATGAAACATGGCAGAACCTAGCATATGTTCTTACCCAGTACCTGCTCTGCAAATATTTTTTGCAACTGGACTTTGATTCCTTTGTGTGTTTCATGTTGCCTAAGCAGAGATGATCTTGCCCCCATTTTTACCAACTTAACTGAGCCAAGGAACTCGGTGGAGTTGCGTGATGGATTCTTGCTGTTGTGTTGTAGGGAGAAGCTGCTGGGGAGGAACAGGCTGTACTGGAAGCTCCTAGCTAACAGCACATGAGAAACATTCATGACTTTTTCCTTTTGGAAACGCACTCAACATCTTAATGGACGAAGGTTGGAGTATTCCACAGACCTTCCTTTTCAGAATTGTGGCACACTGCCTTGTTTGTTGTTAATGAAATTGTCTGAGATTAATCTGATCAGGTCTCTTCAGCTATTGTTGTGACATTTAGTTTGGAAAGTAGTGAAGTTCAAATACAAAAGACTATTTTTCATTTGGGATTCTTAGAATCTGCAGGCAGTTCAAGGACTGCTGGTAGAAGATTAAGGCGAGCGTGCTGACAAAATATCTACATATAAGGAAATACTCCAGGAAGAGTGGTTCTTGAGGCTATATTCTAACTCTTAACCTATGCTGTGCTCCTATATCAATTTGCATGCTGCTGCCTCAATTCTTGAGGACTGACCACATGAAATGTTCCTGGCCAGAAATTCTTCAGAGTAGGAAGGCCTGTAGCAGTTGACCTTGCCATACCTTTCTGGTTTCTAGTCTTTGTGTCTCTTCCACCAATCTGCATTAAGGCCATGAATTTTAAACTCATTCATCTAATAAAGACGGACTTTTCTGTAAAAACCTTCATGAGTAGAAGGGCAGGAAACCAAATCTTCCTCAGCAGCCATAGTGTCTGCGCAGCTCTTCTGTTGGGGTTACCTTCAGCTCTTCTGTCAGTGTGATCTCATAGGCTAGTGAAAGAAAATGATGCCAAAAAGGAAGCAGATCAGCAAAGTAAAAAGCTGACACAGTCATCTGAGCAGCTTGATTTTGCAGTGAGAGATGTGCTGTTTGTTTTTCTCTGTCTGCATGTTAGAACTGGTTTCTACCCAGTTAATCTCATACCGGATGATCCACCTGGAGCAGTTTCTGAAATCCCTTCACCAAAGTTGGTTTAGACAGGATACTTTTAAGTGCAGTGCACTCATTCCATCTACATCAACAATAATCTATACTTGGTTTACTGTATTATATATCTTTTTCCAGTGTATTCGGACCATTTTGTGTAGTTTGAACTTATGCATTGGTTTCAAATGTGGCTCTTGGGCCTCATGTTAAAGCAAATGTTTATTTCGTGTGCTTGACTTGCTGTGACTCCTCTGGATTCAGGAAAGCATCACAGAAGAGGAAAAGGATGCTCTGTTTGCTTCCATGCTTAGATTCCTTCTCAGATACTTAGAATCCAAGGGGATTTGGTGGAGCAGATATGGCTGAGCAAAAGGGAAATGCCTGCCAAAGGAAAGGCGCTCTCCCCAGAGCAGCTGCTGGCAACAGAGGGGAGGAAGGGAAGAGAAGCTGGGAGCAAACATGCAATCACAGCTCCCTCTGCCCAAGCACAGTTTGAGGTACCTGGGAGCCTGTTCTGACCTGAGCAAGCTGGGCGGTGTAGCAGCTGAAGGTGACAGCGTGTCAACAGGCTTGTTTCTCCACCTAGAAAAAAGAAGCATTAGCTGAGCAGCCAGTCTCCAAGGACAATCCTGATCAGGGATTTGTTAAGTTTTCTCTTTTTTCATTGCAAGACAAAAGTGTCAAGGAAATACAGCTCAAAGGACTCAGTGAACACTGCAATATTCAGCAACTTGGTTCCTCAGCCAGACATAAGCAGTCACAGATCAGAGTAGAATATTCTATTCTGTAATGCCGTAAAAGTAACGCAGAGGTATCTGAACATACCCACTCCTCTCTCCCCAGCCCAATGAAGGTTTATTGTATTTCTTTGCTCCCCATCTCCTCTGTCCCACGTGAGTAATTCTGCCACTTTGCACTGAGTTACTCCTAGATGGAACACACATCTTGTGCTGTAATAGGAGTGGAATAACCTGGTAAGATGGACAAAAAAAAGAGAAGAAGCCTAGTAGGAAAGTGAACATCAAAGCACACCATAGTAAGGAAGGGCTGGGCCCCTCTGCAACTAGATTCAGAAGCTGGGTGATGGAAAAACAGAAGTTTAGTGGGAAGGGAAGTCATCTAAATGATGCAGCAGTCTTTGCAGCACGCCCACGTACACCGGTGATGCTACAGTGGGTAGGATTTCAGTGCATTCCAAGGCACTGAAGAGGTGTTGTGCTGCCCAAACCGAACCATACCTGATACACAAATCGCCTGGTCTGATGGGTTAGTAAGCTGTAAAAATGTCAAGTCTAGAAATGACATAGGGTCAAGAAATAGAGGATCTAGCTAACTTTGATCAAACAACTTACCAAGATTTCTAGCAATAATCTATTGTTTATAGGGGTGCTGAGATATCCTGAGAGGCATTCCATAGCTATTTCATTTTTATATATTTCCCATGCAGGGGTAGGAGACCTGGAAGACAGTGAATGCATCTCCAGTCTGTTGTTCTGCCATCACAGCCTCTGAGTAGATGTCTTGATTCTGCTGCAGTTTAATTTCTAGCACTACTGATTGATGACTCCTTCACTAGGCTAGTACAGAACGTTGCAGCTTCTGATTTGCTTTTCTGCTGCTGATTAAAAACAAACCCTGGGAATTAAATGTGAAGCACATTTTTGTCCCAAGAACACCTTTCTCGTGTCTTCTAGTGTCTTACCTAGTTGTCATGTTATTAAGCTTTCATCTTTTAAAATCCCCTCAGAGGTCGTTAGTGACAGCTCATTAAATACCTGTTCGGGAACGAAGTAAGTTTTAGAATGCATTTAAATGGGGATTGAATTCACTTACTGCCATGTGACTTGGTATTTGCACAAGTAACCACGGAGTAGAGCTCCCACTTCATACCTTACCCCAAATCTCAAGCTGGCTGAACAATTGGATTTACTAGTACTGTGAAAGTGGGAGTACTTTCTTGAATCAAATAATGTTGAAGTTTTAACTTTTGAAGTGTTTTCTGAGCCTCTGAGAAGAAACTAATACCAATGTGAAAATCATGTACATATGTACATGTAATCCAAACCAGACTTCTAGAATTGTGCGAAGCTGAAAGAAATGATTACCTTAGCAGTTCTTTTACGAAAGAATATTTCTCTGAATGCCTACTTTTATGGTAATAGTTTTGTTTTATCTATGTATGTTATAGGAAATTCCATAAGAAATTGGGTCAGCAGGCTTGGCTGGTTGCTGCTATTACTGCCACGGAGTTTCTGATTGTTGTGAAGTACGATCCCTATACACTCACACTGTCTCTTCCTTTCTACATTACCCAGTGCTGGATCTTAGGGATTATACTCGTGCTCACCTGGACAGCCTGGCGGTTTTTTATTCGGTAAGAGCAGTTTGATGTGCTACGTGCAGGTCTGGCCTGGGTCTTCAAGGAAAATGTTTAGACATCTGTTCAGCAGCATGTTGGATGTTGAATATAGGCTGTGATTAGACTTCAGTGCCTCCTGAAGAGACCCTACAACTCTTTTGGATGAGTAGAGCTACAGTGTTTTTCTCTTAAGAATTATTTAATAAGGAAGGAGTTTTCCATGTGTGATCTTGGCAGCTTTCCTTATGGGAAACTGGTAAGCTCCGGTCTTTGTGGGACTGCATACGTTACTGTTGCTGTAGAAGCAGATGAACAGTTTAATGTCTGATTGCATCTGACTGCCCTGGCTGAATGGGAGCAGCCACTGAGATCGGTGTTTTGTTTTCTTTTGTGCTGTGATTTAGATGAGTCTGAGTTGTTTTACAACTTCATTGCAAGAACAGACTGCTGCATTGTAATTGTGTGAGCAACAAGTAAGCCAACTTAAACCTATTGGGTTTAGACGCTGTTCTGTGCAAATAAAATAAATGAGCAAAAACAGCACAAGGCTGAAATGATTACGGTGATCTCTGGTGCAGTAGCAGCACTCATTGATCTTGAACATGCTGGTATGATTCTGAAAGAAGTGAAAATAGCCAGACTACTGCAAGTAGTTCGTAGTAATTCAAGTGAATCAGTGCCATCAGTGACTTCAGAAATGTACAGCCAAAGTATTCAAATGGTTTAAGTATTCCAAGGGCACTGGCATCTGGATCAGAGTTACTTTATTGTTTTCATAGTATGTTGAAACTGTTTATTCACATCACTGATACACATCTGCTTTTCTTTTTAGAGATATCACGTTGCGATATAAGGAGATAAGGCGACAGAAGCAAGAGCACAGATATGAAAAGGACAAATGCTTGAGCAATGGTGATGGACATTCTTCAATATTGGATGAACAGAATGGGAGCAAACTAAGGGAAAGGAAATTTTGAGCAGTGGTCAAAGGGCTAAAAAGAACTCATAGTGCCCAAGTTGGCTTGGTGGACAGTTTCAACCTTAACCTACCTAACTTGTAATTTTCACTGTTAGTTTTCCAAGGTGTGAAAATCATTTTGAGGAGATGATGTCACTTTGACATGCACGCCCTTTCTAGTCATGTACACCTAGTCAGAGTCGGAGAAAGTCTGTGTAGAGGGAAGTCAGAACCAACACCATCGCAATGAGGTGGGATCTTCGTCCAAGTGTGCTGCATGCCTTCCTTGCAAAACAAGTTTTGGAGACAAGGGGCTTTAAAACAAAGCGCAAAAGGAATCTGGCAGATTACTTTCAGTTAACTGTGAGATTCTATTTTGACATTTGGGCATTAGGAATGCACGGCACAGGAAATGAATTTTGTGTCTTCTGCTGAAACTACTTTGAGGTGTGGAGTCAGATTATATAATATGTTCAACCACCAATTAACAGAACTGTGGCGAGATAAACAGATTAACTGAAGCTTGTGAACAAGTTGCATTACTTGCACAGAATGTAATGCAGTACACTACTGTTACAACCCCCCTAATGTGGGGGTTATTGCCTTTCTCTAAACTGACTTTCAATGTCCTGGAATAGCTTACAATAATTTTATGTTTTATCACAGCTCTAGGGAGACAGAAGACTTCTCCTTACGCTTTTCTGTTTTTTTTTTTTTTAATCTTGGTCATCTCTTAAAGGTAAGGGAAGTTTAAATAAGAAAGGTCAGCCTGCCTTCTGTTTGCTTCATGGAGTAAAATCTATTATTAACAGAAAAATGGAGTTACTCCATCAGTCTTAAGTTATTTGCCTTATTCTCAGCTCTTTTACTTTGCTTGCCAAGAGGATTTCATTCTTGGTGTCTGCTGTACAAAGCATGTCCTGTTCTGCCATCCTTCAGAGCTGTCCTGTCCCTTCTAAGGTGACTCTGGACTGAGCAATCTCCTGAGTCCAGCTGGAAAAGGCATTCTCTGCAGTCCTGCAGAAAACAGCTGTTACCGTGCTGCCATCCATGCCAAAAGAGGAAACTGAAGGGAAGTGCATCCAGTCTTCCCTGAGCAGCATGTAGCACTGGAGATCTACAGTCCAAACTAGACAGCGTTTTTGCTCGTGACTCAGCATCTAGGAAAAGAAATTAGGAGCCTTGGCTGCATTTTTTTCAGGGTCATTATTCCAAAATGTAAGTGCTGCAACTAAGCATCAGTTTTGTAACCCATGCTCTAAGCCTTTGCATTGGCCTCTAAGGCACTGATGTAATGGTATCACTGTTTAAGTACAATGATCTAATCTGGCTGTTGAAAGATGTTTTTCAGGGAAGTGTTTATCCTGAAGAAAGTGATATAACACCAGTAACATTTAAAAAGGATAGCCCCCAAAATTCTAAGTGGCAGGAGACTTGAGATGCTGCTGGATAGTAAACATCCACATTTCCAATCCATTTTGGTCTTGCACATGGAGAGCCACCAAAATAAATCTGCCATTTCTCTTAGGTTTATGGAGTGACCTAAATATTTTCTGACCCTGAAGAATGGACACAGCAATAGGGCAGTCCTCAGTGAACGGAACAGTTCGGTTGCATCTGAAGAGCTCAACAAATGAAGCAGATTTGATGGGCCCTTGGGGCTGCCCCAGTTGCTTAGCAGACAGAGAGGAGGATGATCATTTTGAGAACGAAGCATCCGGCTTTGTTCTTGAGTACATACAGTTCACTGTGGATAGTCGCTCAATGGATAGTCAACTCAAAGTCAGCTCTTAAATCATAGTATTTTGCTGCTGTGAGGTAGTGAAGAATAAATGGCCATGTAACTAGGTGCTGACAAATTTATAAATGGGCAGACAGTGCTGAGTTGAGCAAGTATTTATTTGTATGCCATTTCAGCCTGAGTCGTTCTCATTTCTGGCTTTCCACCATTCTTAGGAACTGTTGACTGATTGATTGGTAGCTTGTACCAGTGTGTTGTGCTTGTGTAGTCCCAGGCTCAGGTCAGTATATTTCCATTCCTTCTCTGCTGATTAACACTGTGGTCCCCACTCTCTCTCTTTGCAGTACGTTCATCTGAGTCTGTTTTGTGAATTGGGTGGTTACAGGCACACTGAGGAGGATCTGTCACTGTACCTTCCTCCTCCTCCCCACCCTGCCAAAGACACACTGAGGTACTTCAGAAACAACTGCTGAAGAATCCCTGTTCCCCAGTAACAGTTCTGGAGCTTTGAATTAATACATAAAACACTGACTTTGTGTTTGTCTACTTCTGTTTTATCAGCTTTTATGGTTAGTCTGAACTGAACCAGTATAATAAAGCAGTGTTTGCTGGTGTGTTTTGGTACAATGTGTTCATGCTCCTGGTTTATCTTGCTTGTCACCTCACAAGGACTGAGGGGACTTGGTCTGAATTCCCTTTGGTACAAAGACTATCAAAGGTTTTGGTGCCTTAAGGTAATTACCCTGTCCAGATGTTCAGAAAAATGGATTTTAGAAATGCTTGGTCCACGCTTGTAATTCGGGAATGCATATTGCAGTGCATTTACAAGGAAGATCAGCAGTGTCTTGTTCAGAACACACCTCTGTGTGTTACAGATAGTAGCAGCAGCTTGGCTCCTTGTTGCTGATGATGTGATGCTCCACCAAACAGCCATGGAGCTGTGGCTGTGAGAGCAGAGCTGCTGGAAGGTCTCTGGGCATATTCAGCACAGCACATCCATATGTATGAAGCCATAGGTATTGTCCTTGCTTGCGAAGCACTGAGTCATGTCTACCTGTTCTTGGCATCATCATCAGCTCCTGGCACAGGTACTCTTTATTTATTTGTTAAGCTGGATGCAGTCTGCAGACAGTGGCCCGTGCTCCCCTGCATGTATGTGCTAGGTGACGGAGCAGCAGTGATGTTCCTGCAGGGAAGTAAGCCAAGGGAGGATGCAGCATCTGTTGGTGCTCTTGAGTGCTCCCTGTGCTGCTGAGAGACTTCAGTCAAGAGATTCTGGGTTCTGACCACTACCTGAATCACCTGAGTGTTCACGTTTAAAGGCTTTATCAATTGATGTCATTGAGATGCTGCTATTCAGTTTATCCTAAGGCTTGAGCAAAGCACAAAAGCGATAATATACTGCCATTTGCTAGCAACATGAAGCTGATGTTTTACAGGCTACCTGGCACCTACACGAAGCCAGATCCATCTTCAGATACCAAACTCGGGTCATCAGAGGTGACCAAAACAGCCAGATTGATTTAGGTTGAAAATGACGTTCTAGGGGACAGTGATGGACGAGACCCCAGCAGAGGGTGCTGGTGGCCTGGGCTGCCAGAATTAATGCTCTGTTGCGATTCTGGGAGCTAGGGGAGGAAGCCATCGCTCCCTGGGGCTTTGTATAGCGGGAGGAAGGGATGCGTTTGGGTTGGATGAACACAGGGTTTCAGCTGTAAGGTGAAGCTCTTTTCCCATTCATAGCGTTTTGGGGCTACAGTGAGAACTTGGTCTGTTGGTTTTTCTTTCCAATCACGGGAACCTTTTAAAAAAGGGCACTAGTCCTTGGAAAGGAATTATCTGGTGGGAAATGGGTGGTGAGTTTTCCCACCAACCAAGGGTCTTTTGCAGCATCACACTGCTCCCTGTGCCAGCTGAGACGTTGCCCGGCTTTTCCTTCCTCCCCAGATGGCATGCATGATGTTATTCATTTTTCTCCCCATTCTAACAAAGTGAGTCTCTCTGTGTTTAAAATACTTCTAGCTTTGGAGCTCAGGTGAGGCAAAGAAAGTTCTCTCCGTCCCTGCTGCATAGAATCAGGTGTAGGAGAGCTTTGGCTGATGCCCGGCTGGTGTTTGCCACAACGCGCAGCACCTGCCAGCGAGCGGAGCTCTGGGTCTGTACTGCTGGGAGGGCTTTTGGGGACAAATCCCAGTAAGCGTCGCTTGGTGCTTTGGGATGAGGGAGAGGGGGGCTGATGGGTTTTATTTCCGACCCCAAAGGAGCCGAGGGAGGGGAAGGAGAACGGAGGTGGTTTCTCTCCCGCAGCGCTGGGGAGGAACGAGCAGCCTGGAAGCCTGCATTAAGGGCAGGCAGGGATCCAAATATTCGGCTCCCGGGGACCGGTTTCATTCCGCAGCCCCTAAAAAGGTGGAGAGCGTCCCTTTGGGAGAGGTGGGAGGAGGGAACGCGGGTCCTGAAGCAGGGGAACACCCTGCGGGTTGCGGGGGGGACAGAGATGAAAGATGCCGGAGGTGGGAGAGGATGCGGGACCCTGGGGCTGAGGCCGGAGCCGGGGGTGATCCCAACCCGAGGAAGGGGCGGGGGGAGCAACAGCCGGTCCCCAGCGGGGCCGGGGGCTGCAGGAGGCGGGCGACGGGCGGGGCCGAACCCCCCCCAGGTGCAGCCGGGCCGCCCCGCCCGCAGTCCCCGCTCCGGCTGCTCCGACCGCCATCATCACTCGCTCGGCTGGAAAATGAGCTTTTTCTCCTCAAAACAGCGGTGAGTCTCAGTTCTCGGGATGGCGGTAGAGGGGAGAAAGAAAGGGAAGGAGGGGGGGCTTGGCAGGTCGTGTCCGCGGCATCCCCACACAGGGAATGCGTGCTGCCGGGGTTTACCCGCAGCGGCGCCTCTGTGATTTTGGGCTGTGTTTCGGTTCCCCTTCCCGAGCTCCTCGCCATCCTTCCGCCACCCCGCAGCATCCCCGCGGCGGGGAAACCCAGATCCTGCTCTACCGGGGGTACATCGGGAGATGCTCCCCGTGGGGGCTGCGGTGCTGAGACCGCCCGGCTCATCGCACCTGTGAGCGGGCACCGAGGTGCAAAGCTCAGCATCACTTAGCAGATTTCCAATGTAGAACCACGGAGCTGTGAACCCATAGCGGGGTATACCATACAGGTATTGCCCGTAGAGCCCCACATCTTCGCGGGGCGTAAAATGGGGGCAGCCGGGGGGCTCTGCAGCAGTAACGTCGGGAGTTTGGAGCTGAGCGCGGCCGAGGGATGGAGCCCAAAGCTCAGCGTTACGTTTTGAATTTATTTGTACTCGTAGTTTTGTTACCAACAAACCCACCGGCAAACTTGATCCTACTTTTCCTCCTGGCGTACTGAGGGTGAGATGGGGCTTTGCTCCTCTGGTAGGAGGGAACGGTGAGGGATGGAGGAGGATGGGGTGTGGGGATGAGCCGGGCACGGTGCTGGAGGAAAGGGCAGCGAGGTCTCAGTCTGCCCCTTGGTCCACAGCTGACGACTGGGGGAATGCAGCTTCCTCAGGAGGGGATCTATAACGCCTCCTGGGTTTACTCGTGGTGCACATAGGGTTTTGTGCAAGCAGCTTCTGACTTCGGGTGGTCACAGAAGCAAGAAAAGTGTCGTCCCTCCAACGTGGGGCAGATACTTACCTCCCCCAGAGGACAACATGCTGCTGTGTCTTTCCTTGCCTCGTCGCCACAAGCAGCTGTCCCATGCCCACCGTGGCTCCTAAAGGTGCCAGCAGTCTGATAAGGTGCTGGGATAGTATATAAGGCTGAACCTCTCCTCCTGAGCTCTCCTTGTTCCTTCACTTCCATGCCCAGGAGGAGCTGATGGGGAAATCTCATTCAATCTGACCTGGTGGCTCTGAGGGATGCCTCAAAAGTTGCCCATCAACCCTTCAGGAAATGGTAACTGGGGAGAAACGCTTTGGAAGTAACTGGAGTATTTTTAAAAGGGGTGCTTGCCCTTTGGTGGAGCAGCTCATTCCCAAAAATTAATTCCTTGATTTTCCTATTTAAAAAAAGCAAGGAAGCACTGAAAGGAATGAAACTTCTTAGATAAGGTGGTTATCCAGCAGGTAGAAAGAAGCAGTTTGGGGTAAGTCCCCGTGAGGCTGCAGTGTTCTTGGCTTAGCCCACATGTGTCACAAACTGAGCCTGTTCTCAGTCCAATCCTTGGGGCTATTCTGGAGTCTGGGCTGAGCAGATTCAATGTGTTCATCATTGTCCTTTTCTACTACTTTGCTTTCTCTGTGCACTGTAGGCTGTCCTGCTAGTGGGGAGGGTCTGCCATGGACAGTGGGCACATGGGCAGATACCAGCTGAGTGGTGAGTATGGCTGTGGGCTGCAGAGCTGGGGAGGGCTGTGTGTGTGCACGAGGAAGGAGTTTAATTTCCTAACATCAGTTCTGTCTTTAAATCTCAAACTTTCCAATATTAAGCACTCTACCCTAAAAGGTGGGCAGATACAAGTTCCAGCACACCAGGCTTCATACCTGGAGTTATCCAGAAACAAGAATTGGACGGGGTTCTTTGGCCCCAGTTTGGTACAAGCGGCTGTTCACTTCTGGCTCAGCTTTCCTGCTGAAGTGGCTCTGGGGGACAAAACTGCAATGGGATGCAGATTCTGCCCGGCTCTGTCTGGCCCCAAGGCAGGAGCACCACGGCATGATACAGGAGTCAGCACTGCAGAGTCCCGGGCAGCTTAGTGATCACAAAGCTCCTTTTTCTTTCCTTTTGTTTTCTCTCCCCTCCTCCTTTCCTTCTCGTTAAGCCGAGCCATCCGTGTGGCTTTAATGCTCGGGTGATGGAGGCTGCTGCAATGCAGCAACAGCTGCTTGTAGGGCTGCCGCGTCCTGCTTTGCAGCCTTGAGCTGGGCTTTTTTCCTTTGTGTATCGTCCCATCGGATCTTGCTTTTTTTTTGCTTTTTTTTCTCCCCCTGTTTCCAAAAGCATTTCCTCCCCTCTTTTTCCTATTTGTGGCTCTTTTGAGCATCCCAGCCAGCAGTCAGGGTTCCCCTATGGCACCAATTGGAATGCTGGGTGTGTCTGAGAGGGATGGATCTGCACCCTGGGGATGGTGTAGTGAGTTCCAGTGCCGTGGGGAGCAGAGCTGGCACATGCTCACCTCACCTCCTGGGGCCAAAATCTCCGATTTTGTGCTTGCAATTTGCTGTTGAACACCATTCATAACGCGCCAATGGGGGCAGCAATGATTGATTCCCAGCTGATCCTGTGGGATGAGCTCCCAGCTGGGATACAACGTGGCCAAGCTCCCCTCCTTGGGACATCTGATGCTGTCCCTGTCCCCTCGCAGCCACCGCCAGCCCTCCACGCTGGGAGATCGGCATCTATGTGGCAGGAGCGCTGGCACTGCTGGGCGTTGCAGCTGTCAACCTGTGGAAGCTCTGGCGTTCCGGCAGCTACCCTGCACCTTCTCCATTCCCCAACTATGACTACCGCTACCTGGAGCAGAAGTATGGGACGGCGTATTCAGACATCAAGCACAAGGTAAAAAATAAAAAGAATGCAGGTGGAAAGTTGGGCTTGACTCCATTCCTCTTGTAATATGCGCAGTGGGGGAATGCTTTAAGTGGGCATGATGGTCTTAAAG